AAGATGTGACGGGTAAGTACTTCGTGTGAAGTGAATCGCCACACTCTTTTCGGGATTTATTTCTATTCTCCATTTGCGGAACCAGTCGCCGAGGCGGTCGGCGGCGCTTTGGAGTCGAGTGGTTAGTTGTCTAAGGTTGCGGTCTGAATAAAAGAGCGCCGTGTCATCCGCGAAAAGCGCGAGATTGACGTGGGGGTCTTTAGGTATATCGCTCGTGTAGAGCGTAAAGAGCAAAGGTGAGAGGCAGGAGCCTTGTGGTACGCCGGCCGTGAGGTGGCGGCTTGTGGAGAGGGTGCCTTCAACTCGATATCGAAAAGAGCGGTTTGACAGGAAGGCCCGGATGGTGTGTATGATCGTACATATATAAGTACAGAGGTCGATCGCGACTCTTAGTACTATAGTGAAAGTACATTGTATGAACGTCCCATACCAATATCATCTGGAAGTAAGGTCTAATGGATAAAAGTAATAATATGTGAAGGTTCAGAGAAAAAATAATAAATATATAAATATAATGAAGAGCAATGAATGATTTGGGACTTTATAAGAGATATTACTATGGAGTTGCATGGTACTTCTGTACGACGATATGGTCTACGGTAAACGTGGAACCATGAATGGATATGTCTTGAGTGGTGGACATATCATCGATAGCTGGTGGTAGTTGGCGTCTTAGTGACCATTACTATGTCATTATACGTTAGCTGTCATTCGGCATAGTAAGAGTTTGGTGGTAGTTGGCGTCTTAGTGTGTTGCACTATGATACGTCGACTGATCATCTGACTTTGGGGAGTCTGGTGGTGGCTTGCGTCTTAGTGTATTCCACTATGATACGTTGGCTATTACTTGACTGGGGTGGGGGTCCGTTGGTGGTTGGCGTCTTAGTGTTTACGCTATGATACGTCGACTATCATTCGGATCGTGAAAGAGTATGTTTGGACACTTCGTGTGTTCTGAGTATATTCTAAACTTTATAGCCGAAGTTGATTGGAGTTGTATTGGTGTGGTATGAGGGTGTGCCACCTACGCGATAGTCACATTGATGCGTGCGGCTATATGCAGTAATGCGTCTTGTGGTAGTTGCGGGGTGATCTGCGCCTAATATCATTGCATCGTATGATTCTGGTTGACGGAGGTTCGAGGTGATGATGTCTGCTGTGTATGCGGATAGGCTGTATGTTGGCGTGTTGACCTGCGATAGTTGTATTGATGCATGTTGCATTTAGTGACATTGCGTCTTACGACATTTGCTTGGGAGACGACGCTATTCATAATGGCCGAGTCTGCGTCTCGGTTTGATGCACATCTCAGTAGATTTGTCCAAGTCGGGTTCCTGATGACGGAACTGCAGACTGTCTGACCTCTTTATACGTTTTATCATTATTAACGAATCTCAGTAAAGTTCCCACCGTTCGAACGAATAATGGCAACTTGCTGGTGGGTGAGACAAACTTGATCGAAAATACATTATACTCAAAGTCAGAGACACTGACAAATAAATATATGTTGCCAATTATAAACCCTTCTGATGGCTAAACATAAAAATCACAACTATGGCTATATCTGACTATTTAAATGGTTGGTGGAGCATATGCGTTTACCTCATGTGGATGGTAGCTGGCGGGAGAAAACCTCTCAAGGCTGCGGCGATGCCGTGCAACGTTTTAACCATACCCTTGGGGTGAGCAGTGACTCATAACGCGCTCTGCGACCAAATGTCGTGCTAACCTTTTTAATGGTGGTGATGCCAAAACACTAACAATCACGTTTGCAGTCGCGGCGATCTGGCAAAAGTGGTGGCGCTTACGCAGGGCTTATTATATCATAGGGCCAGAGTGCCTGATCTTTAACACATGCCCAAAACCGTATTGACGTACATTCACGAAGACTGGATTTGTCGTCGGCTTGTATGACGTTTACACGCATTGACATGCGCGACTTCGGTCAAAGTTTGTGCTTACGCACTGCCAAGGCGTTGGTGAGTGTTCCCTACATTTTTATAAAATGTGGGGGAGCTGTTGACTTGTATCGGGTATGTAAAATTGATGTGAGCCCTTTTCAAGAGAGAAGGGATATTAGTTTAAAATTATATTGTGAGCCCTTTACAAGCGTGAGAGGGAGTATACTATATACTCTGAGCCCGTCTCAAGCGAGTCGGGGTTATTTAATAAGAAAGCAATCTAGCATTATCTCTGGCTTATACCACGACTAGTGAATATTTATCTATCCAAGATACACCTAAAAGAATCAAGTTACTAATTAAACACAACGTAAATGAGGTCCTACCGAATATGACGATCACAATAATATTTATACGGCTAATTATTACCTTTAGAAAGATCCTATAGAAAGATCAATAAATTATCCTGGTCACGTAATGATGTTATATGATTTATTCATATAACGGGACAGAAATATATATAAGTATAATTATATATATACACAATAAAGGGGGGGTGCGAGTTACAACTGCAACTCAGAACTATGGCCGCCGTGGGGAACTCCACACACCGGCCGAAGTAAAAGGCCTCCGCAACGAAACAATCAGCAAAGCCACGACGGGAGGGTCGCAAGGTGAAATGTCAAACACTCAGACGCTCTCGACACAAAAAAATCTCGTGATTAATGATTTGTCTATTACACAAGTTGCACGTTAACACATTAACAAAACGTGATTGACCAATATAAGAAACAAGTAAATTCTTATTGACGAAAAAACCGAAACCGACTTAAAATCTCAATCAGTATTCATTCCGTACCCAAACGAGACCCTATTACTAAAACTCCGCTGTCCGTCCGTCCGTCCATCCGTCCGTGTGTGTCTGTTTATCTGTCCGTCTGTTGCCTCTAAAAAGAAATAATAAATACAGAATAAAAAAATATTTAAGCGGGGCTCGCATACAACAGGCATGATTTTTTGCCGTTTTTATAGATTATCTAAAGGTATCTAAGGGTTCCGTACAGTTGTAGATAATCTATAAAACGTGAACGACTCCGACGCGCTTGACCACTTTTTATTCGATTTAATGTTGACGTGTCTTCGGAGTCATAAACCCAAATTTTGACCACATGAGGTAAACCGAATCTAAACGCAAAAATAATTTTTGAAGTTATACTACTTCTTTTGGCGAGTTTGGAAAAAAATATGAGAGTCAAATTTTTAAGATGCGCGCGCGCAACGAATTCAAAAAGCGACATAATGAAGTTAGGTTGCAAGAGACCAACTTGTTTTTTTACGACCAACAGCCTTCTTAATGTCCTTCAGAACAAGCACCCAGATACGAAACAATTGTCTGTGGGCACAAATACTTTCCCCGCGTGGGCATCGAACCCAATAGCTTAACAACTGCGCCACCAAGTCTCTATAACGTATCAATAACAGCGATATTTTTTCCGACAATTGAGTGACTCATTAAAATGATTATTAAATACAAGGAGACCAGCTTTAGGGAGATTAAGAGCTCTCGCAAGTAAAATAATCTACGTGGTAATAAATAAGTTTATTAACTTTAGATGTAACGGGCAATGAACGTAACATTGGCGCGTGTGCTGTAAGAAAGTATGAAATACAAGAAACAGGATTCGAAACGACTACCGCTTATAGGTACAGACACTAAGCCATGACCACAAAATAATTAATCATTAAGCTGTCGCATATAAATTTTAACTCATTCATATGCGACAATCTAATGATAATTTATTACTATTCATTGTTTACTTTGATTATTCCGTTTTATTCGTACTGAGTAATCTTTTCCCTGTAGCTATGTCAAGACTTATTTTTTGATTTCTCATATTTGCGCAAATACTACCTTTATCTTCTTCTATAATATACTTCTTTTATCATATTAATACGTGAAGCAAAAACTTTGTACCCCTTCTTACGAAAATTGCGTGGACGGACCAATATTATACACCCACACTTATGAAATTTCCCACACTTATAGTTTGTACAGCGTGTCGTTACCATCGCGACAATAAATAAACACACGTCTAACGCAACTTGCCAATAATCATAAAAAAATATTAAAAAAAAAATTTTTAAACAAACTAATTAAGTAAAAAAGAAATAAAATTTGTAACATCCTATACAACTACAACTGATTGATTCATACATTCAGAGACTTTTTCATTCATTGCCACGGCGTCGCATTACAAGCCTCTCCTTCTAACAGTATGTTTTGTCTCTTTTCAATTCACTCAACCCATTCATATGCTTTGTGACCTTTACAAATGAACTTTACGTTACAGATTTATGCGTAGACGTATGCGACTGTACCTGGCTGGCTGAAAGTTATTATATTATATCCATTTCAATCAATAAGTTTTTTTCTCACACTTGGCACTTATCTTAAAAAAAATTTTTGTTCATGGTCACAGGACACGCTGGAAAGGGTTCGAAACGTTGCGAATTACAAAATCAGAATAAAAACGCGATGAAATCCGTTAATTGGTTTCATTTAATATGTATAACAAAAATAGTTGGACGTTCTAAACATATTAAATAAATAATTATATGCTGTTGCATGAGTGAAGAAGTGGAAACAATTATATTTTTGGGGTCATCCAGTCGATTGGCAAAGACACGGGTGTTATTGGCGTCTATGAATGACGGACTAAAACTATACATAAATAAATATTTAAATCATTACAAGAAGTAAGTCATTATCGCCTGACGAGGCGAGCCTTTTCGTTGCCATTATAAAAACCGGCCAAGTGCGAATCGGACTCACGCGCGAAGGGTTCCGTACCATTACCTATAAAAACGGCAAAAAATTGAGTCTGTTTTATGGGATCCCCAATATTTTTTATTCTGTTTTTACTATTTGTTGTTATAGCGGCAACAGAAACACATCATCTGTGAAAATTTCAATTGTCTATCACGGTTCATGAGATACAGCCTGGTGACAGACGGACATTCTGAGTCTTAGTAATAGGGTCCGGTTTGTGTACGGAACCCTAAAAATTACTAACATGATTTCCGCAGCTGTTGTCGGTGATGACCTTGTCACTCGGTCAGCCCGTGGCGGAAATCATCAGGAACGACTTCGACGGCCCTCATGCAGACGGTTCCTACAGATGGGCGTTCCAGACTGGTGAGTAATTGCAGATTGGCAGAATGGAGAAAATACCGTGACAGTTTTTTATCATGAACTGGTCAGTACATGAGTGTTAGTAAAAAAAAATTTGAGTTTTGAAACTTTCTGTACCTAAGTACTATATGCAAATTGATTGTCTGTGTCAAATCATTGGAATATTTTGCTTTTGTAGCTTTTATAGAACATATTTAGGTAAAACTGTTGTGTGTACGATTTTTTTCAATTTTTTTACTTTTTATTTAGTACCGTAATTTCATGTTTTTGTTATTTTAATCTGTATGGTTGATTGTGCAAAGCTATGCGGGCAAAACACTGCCCTGATTGGCTGACTTCGACCGAACGCGTCTGTGATTGGTCGACATAGATGCACCATTTAGTTGGCGCGCTAACATTGGTACGCTTTCTTAAAATTGCCTTCAGTGTAGGTTAACGCGCTTTATTCATTTAAAAGAAAAAAAAAATGTTACAAACCCGTTAAATAGTTTTAAAACATTTTTGTTAAAGTGTCCGTTGAAGTTGTATTACGTGACTTTGGTCTACAGAGGGCGGCATATTCCACGAGCAACGCGGCTCAGTACAAAATACCGCGACCGCTGAACAGAGCCTTTTAGTGGAGGGCCAGTACCAATACACTGCACCCGACGGTCAGGTATGTAGGGCCGCCATGTTTCCTGTTTTTTATGGTAAAATTATTTCGCATAGCCTAAGCAAACTATATATATTTATATCTAGATAGATAATGCCCTACACCCTACGGGCCTTTTCTCTTCTTTGGGCCTTCATATATCTTCGTAATATTATTGTTATGTGGCATTAATGTTCTGTCACTCAAGTCATTAGCGCTTAAGATTGCTTCTGGACTCGAATCAGCTGCTAGAGGCTAGAATACGTCGTATTTTCATCGGCTTTAGCATCCTTTAATAAAAATATTGACGCCCCAGTTGTCGAAGTAACTCAGATTTATATTGATGGTAGTTGGCGACTAGTACATATAAATGGAGAAAGTACCTATATGCTTTTAAGTTACCGACGTTTCAATATAGGGAGGCTTTTCTATGGGTATCCATTTTTTTATTAAATTCTAGACATATATAATATTATACAAAAAAAAATATTTAAAGTCACTCATAATTAATTAAATACATTCATTAAAGTTATCTCAAAAAGTGCGTGATTTATAGGCAACTAATTTATTTTACGCGCGATCATTTATAATATTATAACTAACACGCACACAAGTTCATTTCAAAGGTATACGACGCCGTGCCGGCACGGGTCGACTCCTATTTATCACGAGCGCTTAGTTTTGTTCGTGCACGAAGCACGGTAAAATTTAGGTATTTATGAATGACTACCGCATTGTCAACAAGTTCTGTTTTTTAGGGAATGGAATGGCCATTTTTGAAGTAAAACTTCTTTAGGCGCGACTAGGGAGTAACTCAGATTTTTTCTGACGGAAGTAACGTCATAAGTATATGTGATATTTTCAAAATTTGACATATACTTATGACGTTACTAAATATTTAATCATTTCAGTGACATATGCCGTCAACGCCAAAGAAGTTTTACTTCAATCGCGCGTAAAGGTTACACGCACACACGTTTTTTTTTTTTGAAAAAGCAAGTTTGTTTTTATTTCAATAAACGATTATATTACCGTACCCTGAACTTCCTGTGTAAATTTCGGCACTTTTAGAAAAGCCACCCTGTATTTAGAGTCATGAGAAAGCCCCTATATTTATTAGAAAGCCCTTATATATTTTTAATCCTAACCAGACTCAATTTTTTATAATTAATTTTTAAATTGACTTCGACGCAAAAGGTCGTGGATTCGATTCCCACACGGGAAAACCATTTATGTGACCCACATATAGTTGTTTCGGATCCGGGTGTTTGTCCGCGTGAAATGTATGTATGTAAAACAACCAGGGCCGGATTTAGGGGCGGGCAACAACAAAAGGGAACCGGGGCAACAGCCCCGGGGCCTCCACAAAAGAGGGGCCCCACAATAGAGACTTCAGAAAAAAATATTTAAAATTCCGTCTTACCTTTACCTATAGTACTTTGTACAAACATGATTACATTAATTATTAACAGAAATCAATGGAAAATAATTTGGGGCCTCCATTCCTTTGTTGCCCCGAGGCTTCCAAACCTCTAAATCCGGCCCTGACAACCTTAGAACACAAGATGAATTGGCAATAATTTAAAGAAAAAAAATATATACTACTTTACTCTATCCAACCTTAGCTCCAACAGTGCATTGCTAATCATGCCCTCCGTTAGGTCATCAACGTCCTGTACAAGGCGGATGAGAGCGGCTTCCGCGCCGAGGGTGACCACATACCCACGCCGCCCCCAATTCCGCCGGCGATACAGCGCGCCCTGGACTACCTGGCAACACTACCACCCAACAGACTGTCTAATGCTTAAACTGACCGCCTCAGACGCCGATGCAAGCGTACAACATCGTGTAAACTTTGGAGTCATCGAAGTCTGTCGGAGACGTGATTAGGACAAAAGAAGACTATAATAATTAATTGATTGCAGCTGGCAATAAAATAAAATAAAAACTAATCCGTCAACTTTTTTTACTACTAAAATGGCCACGCAAAATAGATGGTGCAACTTCTCTGTACCACCCGAAGGTTGACTGGGAGAATGCTGATGGCATCACGTCCGCATATATTAGTGCAAAAAGAATGAATAAATAGATAAATAAATTGTCTACATATAATTTTATAAACTAAATTTTGTCGATCTGTTCATAAAAATGTCATAAATTAAAAAAAATGTAAAGCAAATTAAATCAAGTGCTAATTTTTCCTCTCTAAGTGTTGAATTTTAAAATTTGTGGAAAAATAGACGAAAACTTGTTCGCCGTTCTGAGAATTTGAATTTTCACGTTTATTTTAATTACAAATTTCACGTTTCATTTTAAGTGCAGGAAACAGCTCTATAAAAATTAAAATCATTAAAAAATGAACGTGCTTTAGACCGCGCGACCGAAGTAAAACTTCTGTAGCTCCGTCTGTATGTAATCTATGTCAACATCTGTATGAATTTACAATTTTATTCACTTTTAACTTTAGAATGTTTAATGTATACAACTAATATAAAAACAAAATATTGTTAAAACACGTTGCCGCTGTGGGAATCGAACCCACGTCTTCGGCATTCGCGGCCTGACGCTCTAGCCACTGAGCTAAACGGCTGATAGCCACAGCGACGAAAATCTTAACGCGTTCTTTCTACATTGTTATTTAGCATTTGAAGCAATGCTTGGCACATCTATTGTTAGCCGTTTAGCTCAGTGGCTAGAGCGTCAGGCCGCGAATGCCGAAGACGTGGGTTCGATTCCCACAGCGGCGACAATCTTTTCGTACTTTTTCAACATGTTTCAATGTTCAATCTTAAGTGCAGAGATTAGCACTATAAAAAACTTTAAAAATTAACAAAGTATTAATTTATAATTTTTTTCAAGAACGAAATGAAATTACGAAACAATCAAGAAATCACCATTCGTGTAACTTTTCTTAACGCCGATCACAATTTTCGTAACGCTCGCGTCACGCATTCACCATCATACTCCCCAAGTCAAGCGTGCGTAAAGAAGTTACATCAAAAAAGTACTAATGAAAACTAGAAACGATTAATCCAAAGTTTAGTGTAGTCTCGTCATCACCAGCCCAGTGCGGCTGGCCCCGTATCTTATAGCATCTTTGCTAAATATGGAACATAACTCTACTAACATGTTTGTTTTAAAATTGGATAGTGAGGGATAGAAAATATATATCCCTTCTGAGGAGTTAATACGTCTAAAGCTCACCATATTTCATATATATAATAAAAAATATTTTAGGACACTTTTTACACCACGTTCTGTCTTCTAGTACCAAACTAAGCAACTGTACTATGGATACTAGATAACTGATAAACATACTTAAACATACTCTTGTACATAAATACATATACATACACCCAGACACTAGATAAACACTATGTTCATCACACAATAGTTCTCCGGTACTGGGGATCGAACACACACAGGAGCGTAGGAGGAGGTAGGTACACCTCCCACTACGCCATTCGGTTCGACATGATTACCTATGGATAATCTTCCTTTATTAAATACGTCACTGTACAAGTGGAGTTATGGAAAAGAGAGTAGCTCCGTAGCTCACTGTATGTCAAACTATATCTTTATGTATTCAGAGATAAGGTTAATTTTCTATTATTACATACGACACTGAACAAGTATACGATTGACAAAAAATTCAAAGAAGACGCAACATTCAACTCAGTAGCTCCGATTTGGTTCAGTAAGAAAACCGAGCGAAATTAGGTTTTTTTTTTTTCATGCGAAGACTTGTCAAACGAGCAGACGGTTCACCTGATGTTAAGTGAATACCGCCGCCCATGGACATCTGCCACACCCAAGGGTTACAGATGCGTTGACAACCTTTAGAAAATTGGGCTCCAGCTACCTCACTCAGGTCCCATCTAAAGTTTAAGAACCTAACTTTGTGCACGGCAAAAGCCCACAAATGCAGTGCAATATATCGAATATAATGTAAATATGTTAGAATGAATGTACCTAGTTTATAAGAAAGTGTTACTAATAATAAAAAAACTATGAGATGACATCGCTTTTTATTCAACCAATTACATTGTTAGAAAACTAACGTGCTTTGTAATATAAAAAAATGAAATAGATGTTTTTTTATTCTTGGCTTGCTTTAAGCTTTGATTGAACGTGCCATACCACCGGTTCACTAAATTAGACCTTTACAGAGAATCAATAACCTTCAAGAAACTTTGCGGTCTTATCTATTTTAAAAGTATACGAAGTTATATCATACCTAACTTGAAGTTAGGTATGATATCAGCAGAGGTTAGGTATGCCAGGTGCCTTGCAAGCGCAGAGCAAGAGTCATTTCCACAAATAGAATAAAGTTAATGTTTGCATAAAAAAAACTTTATTTTAAAAACTTATAATGTATGATAACGCCATCTATTGACGATTTGTTTAAATGAAAAATATTAAAGTAAATTTAAATTATAATTTAACTTGTAATTAAGATACCTTTTAGTTGTATGGTATTAGATTACCAATCCGTGGCTGATGACAGTGATAAGATGATATTGCTAAACATTACTTGTTCTAGCTTTTCAATAACAGTGGAAATAAAAGTTAGAAGAGAGATCCTAAATCAAACCGCAAAAAGGTGATTGATTTTTTTATGTGAAAAGTTGGCAAGCGAGTACGCGGTTCACCAGATATCTACTAAGTGATTACCGCCCCCAACGGACATCTAACGGTTGACAGAAAAAAAGATATTTGCCAATAAAAATGCGATCCGATCGATCACACTCACCAGACGAAACGCGGGAGAATAAGACTTCCATTTCATTCCTAACCTCTGAGGCTGTGGTCTTTCCGCGGACGAGCTGGAAGATTCCGCGTGGCTAAATTACATTTAGCTTGCAATTTAGTTTGCAAATTTGCCTACAACCAGACAAAAGTGCTATTTATGGATGTGAGATATATTTTGTTTAATGAGAGAAGCTGGCGGTTTACCTGATCTGAAGTGGTAACCGCCGCCCATGGAAATATGCAACACCCTTGGGGTTGCAGATGCGTTGCCACTTTTTAGTCCCGGCTACCTAAATCACCAGACTAAATGCAGAAGTATGACACTTCTACTTTACGCCGGTCTTCTGTGTGGTAGTGGTACTTGCACAGACGGACCTGCCCATTCGTGCTGCAGCGAAAACTGTTGCGTGGCCGTAATACTGTGATACGAAAACAAAAAAATTGAATCGGTCGTTATTGTTTACCCGCGATTTGTTCCTAGCTGGGTTAATGTTTAAACTTAACAATGTTATAAGTCAACGTTAAATTGCAGTTTATAACAGACCTCAGTGCAGGGGATTGTGGGCTTGATACTGCATTCCCAAACATTTGTATGAGCAACAGGTTGGTGCTTACTTTGATTTTATAATATCGATTATAAATTAGTGTTTTGTAAATAAATTAAGTTGGGAAGAACCAATCTATGTTCAGATCTGTATCTAGATGTGTCACTAAATTGGGCAAGTTTTAACAATGACTGTGTAATTGCAACTGGGTATAAAAATCCATAAAAATAAAATATACCTTTAGTGTTTACAGTATAAATTTAATAAAAATAAACAAAACTAATGATTAAACAGGTTTAACGAAATGAAATTAAAAAAAATTATTAATAAAACAATATTTTGGCACGTTGAGTATTTTAATATTTACATGACTATGTACATATGTTACATTTGTGAAATTTACAGTGTAGTAACCTTACAAAATACTTCATCAGATTACACAAAATATTCACTATGAATACGGGAACAAACTGGGTTCGATACAAAGTTCTCAATGTGGCCATTAATAATGCCTATTATGTAGCCTTGCAAAAGATTAGTTGAATAATTTGACACTTCTGGATTATACTGAAACACTGAAATTACAGAGGTGAAAGAACAAGAAAAGCGCTGAAAGGATAAATAAATATACAGTACCAATAATAAACCGCAACTTTCAGTGCACACAAAAAAATAACATAAAAAATAGCTTTTTTAATGTGGATAAAGATAACTTTATTTTTAAACAATAAATAAAGGTTTTAGACACGACAATTCCATCTTGCAATGGAAGATGGAAAGCATCTTAAAAACCAGTAATTCAATAGAACAAATTAAGGTGTGGAAAAGAAATACTTTTAAACAATTAACATTATTGCCCCATTTGACTTCCACGTACACCGGATTTCGGAAATCTTTTAAAAATTTTATAATTTGACAAATAAGATAAACAATCAAAAACTTTAAATCTGTAACCCACAAATAATAAAATGCCATAAACTTGAAGCAACTCGGTTGTTAAACAAGCGAATGAAAAAGTTATGGACGAACCTCAAACAGTGTATAGCCAACCTTATACGGTCAATTAGTGACATCTATTTGGCAAACTAAATATTAAATCTAGTTCAATCACACAATTAAACTTTTATATACAACAATTTATTACAACCATGAATTTATCGTTAGATCCGACTCAATAAAACATAAATTGTTACGTATTTTACCACACACCGCTTAGCCTTACCTTCCCCAATATACTCTTTAGTGCATGATTCCTACTTAAAAATAATTAGTACACACATTATTCCGGGTGAGTAAATAACAAAACAAATACATTTTTATTAACAAAAAACAAAACTGACTTCAAATATCTCACTCGCTTTACATTTTCCATTTGATTTTGTAAAATTCCCAGATGTGTCTCCAGAAAGCCCAATAAGAATTAAATTAGTGGGACCACATGGGGGCTGAATCGTAGCCAATGCAGGAACATTTTCAATTCGGTTAATAAATGATGGAGTTCTGAAGTAACAAACATAACACAAACAAATCAACCAAATTGAGAAACTCCTTTCTTGAAGTCAGTTTGAAAAATAGCTCAACTGATAATGGGCAAATGCAGTAAATGGACACACATACAGTTCAAGCATAATTTGTTTGATCAATTAAACATCCTACAACAGTTTTTTCCAATCACAGATTGCCTAGCATTTATTTCTCTGCTCTCGAATTCATTCCATCTTATGGTAAGCAGTGAGGCAAATGTTAGTCGAAAAATGCACTAAGCCTAAGCCTTAACATTTGCACAAACAAGACTGTTATGAATGGACGTTGCACGAATGGGCAGGCTACTCCGGGTAAGTACCACGACCTCACAGAGGACCGGCGTGAAGTGGAAGTATAAAACTTTCGCGTTTCGTCTGATGAGCGAGGTGGTCGGAGCCCATTTTCAAAAAGGTTGTCAACGCATCTACAACCCTCAGGTGTAGCAAGATGTCCATGGGCGGCGGTATTCACTTAACATCAGGTGAACCGTCTGCTCGCTTGGCAACTCTTTTCGCATAAAAAAAACTACTAATCTACTCCTATTTATCGGAGTCAATTCAATACTGCAGTATGTTCGGATCTAACGATTACAATATCAAGATAAAATGTCTAAGCTCGAACACGGGCACTGAACCCACATCTAAGGCTATAATCAGGCACTTCCACATAAAAAAATATCATATTTTTTTGTTATTTTCCTCCCTACCATTATTTATAAAACAACTCTTATATTAATAAACCTACAATAACTTTAGTCTCTCTTTTTTTTTGGGATTTTTCCAAAAATTTTCATTTTTTCCTATCTACATTAGATACTTTGTTGCGTATAAAAAGTATCTGTACATGTTATTTACAAGTTTAGTTATTTACCTACTGAATTATTCCTAACGAATTTTACATAATTTATTCACAAATTTGATATAAACATAGTTTTTATTGCAATTTATATTAAAATGTAGAAAAATTTACATTGGTGAAAGAACTCTTGACAAGATACAAAGATGAAGTCACGAACTTGTCAAAAGCAACAGCAGGATATACAGGGTGGCTTTTCTAAGTGTATCCATTTTTTTCATTAAATTCTAGACGTAAATAATGTTATATAAAAAATGATAAATATTTAAAATCACCCGTAAGTAATTAATTACATTCATTTGAACTTATCTCAAAAAGTGCGTGATTTATACGCAGCTCATTTATTTTACGCGCGATCATTCATAACTAACACGCACACAAGTTCGTGCACAGTTAAATTTAGGTATTTATGAATGACTACCGCATTGTCAACACGTTCTGTTTTTTAGGGAATAGTGGCATTTTTTTTTTTTGGAAAAAAAACTTTTTTTTTTTTTATTTCAATAAACGATTATACTACCGAGCCTGAACCTCCTGTGTTAATTTGGGCACTTTAGAAAAATCTCCCTGTATAAAAGGCGCCATAAAATTAATTTACTTATTTCATCTCCTAAAAAGACTAGTAGTACTTGATTAACAAGCATTGTTTTCAGTAATCGAGTAAAAACAAAAATCATTAAGCAATACAAAACAATATTTTAACTAGATAATGAAATTAAGTTGTATTATTACTAAATATGAATGATTCGAATGAATTTTTTTACAATAAATCAATATTTAAACAAATCGATTAAGACATTGTAATGAAATAAAATAACAAAAAAGTTTAAAAAAAACAAAATCGGGAAGAAGTCAAGATGGACGAATTATAACCGTTTACAAGGTTAATTGCCGGTAAAAAGTATAAAATCATTATATGAACTGTCCTATTGAGAATTGAATCACTATTTTACGAAATAAGGCATTTTCTTAAGAGGCTGTTAGGACATTCACAATAGCCCAGAATAGTCCCACCATAGACAAGTCTATAAGGGAATCTTTTCCCTATGCCATGCGGGGCATATGCAGCATGCGCCACAAACGCAACAATAAATGAACACACATCTAACGCTTCTTGCCAATAATCATGAAAAAAATGTAAATGTTAAAAAAAAAATTTTTTTTTGCAAACAAACTAATTAAATAAAAAAAGAAACAAAATTTGTTACTATAAAACTACCACTCACTGATTCATACATTCAGAGACTTTTTCATTCATTGCCACAGCGTCGCATTACAAGCCTCTCCTTCTAACAGTATGTTTTGTCTCTTTCAAATTCATTCATATGCTTTGTGATCTTTACAAATGAACTTTACGTTACAGTTTTAAACATAAGGATGTTCTGAAATTATTTGTTTTGGAAAATATCCTCAAGTGTGATGATTTAAGGTCGCGTTTGTAGCGCCACGTTGTATACAAATATATATTGATAATGATAACAAAAATGGGTAAACATTGCATAAAAAAAAATAATGTGTTCATGAATATGACTGAAATATGAGTATTTAGACCAATGATACTATATACATGACACTAGCGCACCCAAATTACACCGATTGGTGTAACTCTATAGACTGCTATCTCTTTCCGTATCGTATGTTCAATATCATCTATTACATACACTCATATATATATCGTATAGCGTAAAGCGGAACAATTTTTAAACGCCACGCAGTATGGACATGCTAAATCTATATTATTGAACATTTCACATCCGCTAATACCCGGTTACGTCTTGAAGTAGTTCATCATTCAAGATATCGATACCTCCACAGGAACAAACACACAGATGACATTACGTGAGTACGGTTCGATGGTGAATATGTAAAGACACCGCAGCCAGCGGGCATCGGTTACATCTTGAAGCCCCTGAGCTTGCCGAGCCTCCTCTCCAGGTCCTCGATCGTGGGGTCTTCGCTGCGCCAGGGCTCCGCCCTCTTGCGCTCGCCGCCCGGCGCCATCTGGAAGCCACCGCCCGACTTTCCGGGACTCTCGGAGCTGAAAATTTCGGAAACATTTTGTTGCAGCCAGCGTTCACGGCACCATGCCGCGTGGATTAGGTTTATTACATAATTTTGGATAGATTTAATATTGTAAATATTAGATTAATAATTATTGTTTGTAATGTAATATGTTTAATATTACACATCTCCGCGGGCACATCTATTATTACTAGATTTGCCGGCGACTTGGTCTTAATTTCTAACATGAAAAGTAGCCTAAGCTACTCTTCATGACATCAGCTATCTGCCAGTTTAAGTCCCGTCAAAATCGCTTCGGATGTCTCAGAGATTAGCCGGAACAAACAGACAGACGAAAATTGTAAAAAATGTCATTTTGGTATTTTATGTACCGTGTTTACATCTATATGCATTGAGTAAAATCCGGTTATTTTAATATTACAAACGGACACTCCATTTTTATTTATCTGTATATGTAGATGAGCCGTGACAGCTCAGTGTCCGGGCGCTCGCCTTTAATTCAATATACGAGTATTAGAGCAACCTGAGTTCGACCCCGGGTGCCGGCACCAATGAAATTGTCGATTTTACGTTAAGCTGAATTATCACGTGCCCTGCAGTGAAGGAAAACATCGTAAGGAAACCTGCGTAATTTCGGAATAGTAACAAAAGTGGGCAGTGGGACAGTGGGGGGGACAGTGGACTATGCCTTGCTACCGTCTGTATAGAGGAGGCCTTTGCCCAGCAGTGGGGCTGTACAGGCTACTTTACTTATTTTTTTACTCCACATATACCGTTTTCTGATCTGAACTCTAGGACATAACACAAACTTATTTAATTCCACCAATGGCTATACCTGATGCCTTTAGAATTAATTAATAGGTTCTCTACCACTCTATCAACCACGGTATCGCAAATTAAGCACGGTCGATAAAAAAATTATATGAGAGTTTGAGTTGCACTATATTTACGTTATTCATCATTTTTATGTGATCGTTAAAAATAAGAATAATAATTGGCAAGTATTTAACCGTAAGAGCCGTGATAGCTCATTGTCCGGGCGCTCGCCTTTAATTCAATATACTCGAGCAACCTGAGTTCGATCCCCGGTGCCGGCACCAATGGAGTTTTTAACTTTAAGTGCTGACTTATCACGTGCTCCGCGGTGAAGAAAAACATCGTGAGGAAACCTGCATATTTTCGAAATAATAACAAAAAAAATATTTTTCGAAGATATGTGAAGTCCGCCAATCCGCAGTGGGGCCGCGTGGTGGACTATGTCCTGATGCCCTCTGTATAGAGGAGGCCTTTGCCCAGCAGTGGGACATGCATAGGCTGTTACTTTACTTAACTTCTTTAAGTATTTGACCAAAAATGAATTTAAATTGTCACGTCACAATCACCTTATATACTCTGTGCTGGCGGCCAACGCTGTGTCCTGGCCGTCTCTTGTGTTGTAAAGCCAAACGCCGGGCGCGGCCAATTTGTGGTCACGCACCTGCATATTAAAAAAATAATTTCAATAATTACTAGAACACAAGTGGAATGACGCAGTGTCCAAGGCATTGGTTTCGGCGTCGGTATTTGTGGGTTCGATTCCCACATTTACACACCACGTTCGTATTACACACCGCAACATCTCAATTGCCTTACTGAGATGTTGTGGTATGTAATATTACCATTACCTGAAAGTCGTTGCTGTACAGCCGGGGCGGAATCGTCAGGTCCATTTGCAGCTTTTGACCTAAAAAATACATAAACTCTAGTCAATACTCTATAGATTTACCAAAGACTTATTTCTTTGTATATTACTAGTACAACTGTAACTATTTATTCTAGTTTTGATAAAACGACAAATTAGAAAGTAAGTAACGTTGATGTATGTTCTTAATAATAATAATGCAACTTCCAGTCCGGAGGTTTAGGTTTTGTTTTGTTCTTATTTTCATATTCTATCGTAATGCTAGTTTTGTAGGTTACTGTTCTCCTTAAAGGAAGTCTTTTATTCGATGCTGTGTTTACCTTTAATTTAAATTCATACATACAATGTTAAACTTAATTTTTATGCGCATCACACCTGAATAATAATTGTTTCTTTATATATTTAGTTGGTAAAATAAATAAATAAAAACATTTCAAGCAAGCACTAAAATTGTTCATGGACAAAATATGCTTGTTATATTTTTTCTGATGGTAGAAATTCGTTGTCACTTAGCAGCTTTGTGCTACATTACACTTCATAAAGTTCAAGAGGGCGTGTATTGGAACTATGTACTTTCGCGTCACATCTGGTGAGTGCGGTAGAGACTTTTTAATGGTCAGGTGTTGAGAATGGCGGCGGTAATCGCTAGACATATAGTCAACCTAAATCTGCCGGCTCGCCAGCTATTTACATAAGAAATGAATTTTCTTAAGTCAGATTTTGATGAGAAATATCGTTTCTTTCACAGGCATTTTTGATGATCTGCATCTTTGCGTCAAAGAGTGTGGGTTCCATTCTCGCCGATGGGAAAATATTGTGACATACAAAATAGTGTTTTTCCAATGTGTTCATCAATAACATGTACTACTTTACAAAAGAAAAATATGTTTGTCAGTTATATTTTAAAAATATGTTTATAGTTTAATAGTTGGAGACTGAATAACAAGTACATTTTTATTCAGAAAAAACAAAACCGTCTTCAAATATCTCATTCACTTTTTAAGAGACAATAGCAATGAAATTAATATACAGCGTGTCGTTACCATCGCGACAATAAATGAACACACGTCTAACAACTGGCTACTTGCTACTTGCCAATAATCATAAAAAAATATTAACGTTAAAGAAAATCCATAATTAAAAAAAAAATATTTTTCAAACAAACTAATTAAGTAAAAAAGAAACAAAATTTGTAACATCCTATACAACTCGCGCCACAGCGTCGCATTACAAATCTCTCCTTCTAACAGTATGTTTTGTCTCTGTTAAATTCATTCAACCCATTCATACGCTTTGTGACCTTTACAAATGAACTTTACGTTACAGTTTTATACGTAAGGGTGTTCTAAAATTGTTTGTTCTGGAAAATTTTATATCTCGGTAAATATTTATATTTAAAGAATGCAAATGTTTAATACAATTTTAAAAAGTTATCATCTATATGTGTTTATTTATTTTTGTGGTGGTAACGACACGCTGTATATTAAACAATTAATAGCTAAAAGCGAACCCAATGCAAAAAGAATTTTCAAAATTGATTCATAAACTGAGGTTACACTCATAAAAAAATCGAGAACCACCTCTTTAGAAGTCGGTTGTAAATATGCTCAGTTAATTCAGTTGGGAAATTGGCAAATTTTCTGAAGGTTAAAAAAATAATTCAGTACACTACCCAGATGCTGAAGGAAATTATTCAAACTTATCTGGATACAGCCTGCCGTCTGTCCTAAACTATGACCAGGGTTCATACCTTTTTTTTTATGCGAAAAGTTGTCAAACGAGCAGGCGGTTCACCTGATGTTAAGTGAATACCGCCGCCCATGGACATCTGCCACACTCGAGGGTTGCAGATGCGTTGACAACCTTTTGAAAATTGGGCTCCGGCTACCTCACTCACCAGACGAAACGTGAAATTATTTGTCATACTTCCACTTTACGCTAGTCTTCTGTGAGGTCGTGGTACCTACCCGGACGGGCTTGCCCATTCGTGCAACAGCCCAGGCTGCTGCGTGGCCCTACCACCGAAATGCGAATGCAACCTTGCTTCAGTGGTAATTCTGTTGAAGTTATCAACACATTGAACCTTAATGATGAGAGCATATCATTCTTTCCTAAAAGGCTGACAACACATTTGCAAGCCCTCCGGTGTTGCAGATGTTTAAGGTATGCAGTGATCACTTATCATCAGGTGTGCCCCAGCCCATTTATCCAAAAAAAAAGTCCCCATCCGTCCAGCCTCACCCGGATGCAGCCTGTCGTCCATCCTCAGCTCGCCGTAGGTGTCGCTGAGGCGCTTGAGGCTGGCGTCCACATCGCCCTGGGGCCAGCTCTCGTCCGGGCGGAGGCAGTTCCCGGAGGGTGGGTACCACGGCTTCGAGGGTCTGTCGGTTATTATCGCCGTGTCTGCGGATAGGAGATGTTTTTTCGATTGAAACAGCAGCCCACGTAAATTCATACAAGGCATGAACAACTTTTTTTTAACCACCAGTTATAACTCACGTGTCTGTCTGTTAGTCTGATAGTGACATTGATGCTCCTAAATGAATGGACCGATTATAGCGCGTTTTTCTTTGTTTGAAAGATGTTGTGATCGAGATGGTTTTTAGCCAAAATTTGAGTTTACTTTGTGCGGTTACTTAAAATTTATAATTTTATATTTTTTTTTATTCAAGTAGGTGGCGTCTCACCTGATGTTAAGTGCGTATAACCACCGCACACGGACATTTATGTTTTTACATCAATACTTTGCGGACAATGCCCAATTAATAAAATAAATAAATATTTTAGGACACATTTTTACACAATTGAGAATGCTCAATCAACATATCATATTTTATGTGAATAATTGCCAAACGAGCAGACGGTTCACCTGATGTTAAGTGAATACCGCCGCCCATAGACATCTGCTACACCCAAGGGTTTGCAGATGCATTGACAGCCTTTTTGGAAATTGGGCTCCGGCTACCTCACTCACCAGTCGAAACGCGAAAGTATTTGTAATACTTCCACTTTACGCTGGTCTTCTGTGAGGTCGGGTACTTACCCGGACGAGCCTGCCCATTCGTGCAACAGTCGAAACTGCTGCGTGGCTCTACCACCGTTAAAACTTGTACTAGATAACTCGGCTGTTGCACGAATGGCCAGGCCCGTCCGCTAACCTAACCAAATTGTGTGATGGATAAATTACTAAAAAGCAATGGCGACATCTCTTTTTCGAATTATCGTTGTAAAACGATATTCGAAATTGTATGCGGGAAAGGGTAAAACAATGGTTGCGCCAAGCACTGCTACAAATGCTAAAATACAATGTGGACAAAACTTAATAGGGGGTTGAGAATTTCGTTGGTGTGGCAATCAGCCGTTCAGCGTAGTGGCTAGAGCGTAAGGGCGCGAATCCCGAAGACGTCGGTTCGATTCCCACAGCGGCATCATTTAATCTTCACGGATCTTATGCAGCCTTCTATCAGGACACACCTTCCACCTCGGTGCAGAGCTCGGCTACGGGCTGCGCCTTCGGAGGCTTCTCGCCCTCCTTCTTGGGTGTAGCATCTTCTAGACTGAGCTCGTTCAGCTCGGCCAGCATCCTCTCCTCGCCGTCGAACACGAAGTCCCTCTCGGAGACCTTCCTGCCCGGCTGGCCCGCCGGCGGCGATGGCAGCTTGCCATCTGCAATTATTGCAATTGTGGCAGATTAACACCAGATTGTGGCGACTGCTGCGTCAATTTTTGTCAACACTTTGCTATAAATCCATCCCACTGTTTGTATGATAAAGAATATTCATTAATACATACATGAAAAAACGCTGCATTCATAAAAACTTAGACATATATGATTTATAGTATAATTTTAAATAATGAATAGGTTCTATTGAACACTGCTGGTAAGACATGTTATTGCAATTGGAAACAAAGTCCGATTTAGCACCTGTGTAAAAAAAAACTATTCTATAATTTATATATAACAATACAGTTTCCGACTTAAAAACTTGACACAACAACTTATTAAGTATGGTCTTAAAAATAGTGTAGTTAAGTCACAATAATTAGAAGATTTGTGATTAGCTTTCTGATTCATTCCGTTAAAAGATTCTTACAGACGTAGGCACAGTTCAAGCAGTTGTTAATTGAATAATTAAAAAGTTGTTTTAATACCTCTGTCTCTTCTCGCTGCATTTCTGTCTGTCCTCTCCTCTTTGCCAGGGGTGCCACCACCAGGGGGAGCCGGTGAGTCCAGAAGGTCTTTTAACTCCTGTTCTAGTTCTGCCGCGTCCATATCATCGATGGTCGTGCTGAGGGCTTTCTCAACTTCGTTGTAGGTGTCCAGGACCTGCGGAGTATGATACAAACATAATTGAATATAACCTGTTACATTCATCTTCATCCTCTGGGATGAAAATGTGCGTATGGATTATGTCTACAGCAAAAGTATGACATACTAGAGAACTGAACCGGCTTAGCAATGGTAGTACTAATTATAAAACAAAAAATCTGTTCATTCAATATCTACCAAAAATCACAGATTCACACTGGGCTAATTCGAAGATTGGCTGAAAATTTCATCAAAATAAGTCTAGCCGGAGTCCATACAGAGCATACATACACACATCAATTTTCATACATAATTCAAATCATAGAGATTTTAATCGTGAATTTATTTGCATTTAATGATTTTCTTGCATATTGTTCTGTTCACTAGCTGGGTGCTTGTTTTGATTCAACTGCATTAAAATGTAAAGAAATCGGCAAGCAAAATTTATTTTGTATATTTCTATATAAATCAAACAATTTTTTTTATTACTTTCAATAGATTATTGAAATAGTTTCTTATATCTTCCCAAACAACATTTTCTAATATTTGCATTATTATCTCATATTGATTTTAATAAAAATAATAAAAAAAAATAATAAATAAAATGAAAATCATATCATTTGGAAAGGAGAACAATATAATACCTGTTATAAAATTATACTTAGTTATACGACAATTCCTACCACTTCATTCATATAAATTAACCATACGACATCATTACCATCATTCACAAAGACGTCCCCTTTAGAACGCCACAACAAACGACACTTTGACATTTGCATCCACCAGTTGCCCGGGATTCTTACAATGTCTTCGGTCCACCTAGAGGCAGGCCTTCCACTAATACGTCTGCCGGTTCTTTACCTCTACTCCCCATTGGTCATCAGTTCTTCAAGCAATGTGGCCTGCCCGCTGCCACTTCAACTTGCAAATCGGGAGAGCTATGTCAGTGACTGGTTCTTCGGCTTCCTCGTTTCGGATTTTGTCACAATATTAAACGTAGTAAAATAAGAACTCACGTCTTTAAGTTCGTCCATGGTGTTGAAAACGGAATCTTCCTCGAGACCACTCTCCTTCATCGTACGCTTCATGGCTTCGGAGCTTGTCCTGCAAAATATGGAACACTTCATAATGACATTATTTTTTTATGTGAGAAAGTGGCAAACATGCTGTCGATTCACCTGATGTTAAGTGACAACCGCCGCCCATTGACATTTGCAACACCCGTAGCGTTGCCACCTTTTAATAAAGTGGGCCCCGGCTACCTCACTCACCAGACCAAATATCGGGTAGAAACCAGTTTTTCGACAAATTCACTCTCATCATTTTTCCTAAGTTGTCATCCCATACAACGTTTTCCTAATCGTGGTGTCCACTCTAACACATGGCCAGTTCCACTTAAGAATGCTTTGATGACTCCGTGGCGCAGTTGCCAAGGTATTGGCATCGACGTCAGGGGTCGTGGGTTCGATTCCCACACGGGACAACTATTCGTGTGACCCACAGATACTTGTTTCGCATCTGGGTGTTTGTCTGCGTGAAGTTTATGTTTGTAAAACGTCATTACAACACAGGATAATATTAGCCCAAAGTAATGACAATGTTTTATAAAAAAAAAATAACTGCTGATACTGTATTGTACTTTTCCCAAAAACTAACCTGTAGGTGTCCACAAAAATATTCATAACGAGCTGAACACCCGCATCAGTTGTTGAGCGACCCCTAGTATACCCATATTGCTTGTTATGTAATAAATTATGAGAGCTAAAATGCTGTAACATTTGATTCAACATGATTTTTTCAAAAATTTTACTAAGAGTTGGCAGTACAGAGATAGGTCTAAAATTATTGGGGACGGAAGTACTACCAGATTTAAACACCGGAATGATTTTATTATGTTTCATACGGTCAGGAAATACGCCACGATTGATACAAATATTAAAAATAGTTGCTAGGTAATCAGATAGGCTGATGCTGTATTGTATTTTTCCCAAAACTAACCTGTAGGTGTCCACAATGGCAACATTGCCATCAATCTCCCTCATCTGCTGCAAGAGATGCCTCACGTTCTCCAGAGCCGCCTCGCAGCGCTGGGCTCGGGCAGCCACCTTGTGCTTTCGCCGCAGGTGGTTCTTTGCCTGGGTAAGTAAAACTTTCCATTAACCAACATCATCCTCCTGCCTATAAGGACATGGGGATAACCCAGCTGGATGGGTTCGTCACAACATTTGAATCATGTTGTAAGTGGTTTTGGATAAGTTTTAAGGCTTCCTTACCCAAAGGTTAAACGGGACCCTATTGCTAAGACTCCTCTGTCTGTGTGTCTGTCTGTCCATCTGTCACCAGGCTGTATCTCATGAACCGTGATAGTTAGACAATCAAAACTTTCACAGGTGTTTTTTTTGTTGCCGCTGTAACAACAAATACTAAAAAACAAAAAATAAAAAAAATACTATTTAAGTAGGGACAATTATCTATGGGTCACACAAATACTTGTCTCGTATAGAAATCGAACCCACGACCCTCGGCACCAAAGCCTCCGGGTCATCCGTTAATCTACAAATGTATAAAATAAAAAACCTCAAAGATCCGAACCATCTAAATCCATTACAAATATAGGAAAAAATTACTAAATCCCATTTTTGACCTATATACTATTAATATCACCACTTGTTAATATTAAAAAAGCACATTTTTAATAACAAAAAAACAAAACCAATTAACATATCCCACTACACATTTTCAATTTGCTTTTAAAGAGTTCTCTGATGCATGTCTATAGTCCAAGGCCCTTTACGATTTAAAATAATATCAGATCAAATTTTAGTTAAATCGAAACTAATGGCAAAATAACCTTTAAATCGGCTCATTAATGAGTTCTAAGTAACAAACGAGGGTCTTCGCCATTGGCCGAATGCGCAGTTCCATTCGGGGAAGTACCACGTCAACCTCACAGAAGACCGGCGTGAAGTGGAAGTATTGAACTTTTGCGTTTCGTCTGGTGGGTGACCGACTGGGGCCCAATTAATTAGAAGGTGGCAACGCATTTGCTAGGGCGGTGATGATCACTTATCATCAGCTGAACCGCACACTCGCTACGTTAGTCACCACGTCAAGTCTGCGGCACAGCGATGAGCGTGGGCTGTTACCGCCATTGGCAAGGTGCACCCAACTGTCGTATAAAGCGCTGCCTCAAGTCACCGCCCAGACTGCCAGTACGAGTGTTTACGAGTGGCCGCCTGATGTTCGCCCAGCGATGAGCATGGGTTACTCCCGCCATTCGCAGTCACTGTGAGCGGTGGTCCGGTTTTCGCCCAGCGGTGGGCGTGGTCCATTACCGCCATTTGCTATTCGCACCCAACGGTCGGTGCGAGTGGTCGTCAACTCGCCGCACAGCGGTGGGTGTGGGATTGCCGCTATTGGCAAGGCGCACCCAGTACAAAGCGCTGCGTCAAGCTCCCGCCCAGTGGGCGTGGGATAGCCGCCATTGGCAAGGTGCACCCAACTACCGGTACGAGTGGTCGTAAAGTCTCCGCCCAGCGGTGGGCGTGGGGTTACCGCGAGCCTGTTGCCCAGCCGGAGGGCCGCCCTCGCGTCCGCGCCGGCCGCCCCCGCCTCCCTGGCGAGCCGCGCCGCGTCCGCCTCCAGCCGCGCCTCGGCCGCCGAGAGCCGCGCCAGCGCCTCGTCCGCCTCCGTCACCGGCGACGCCCTCTGGTGGGGCTCCGCTGGAAGTTCGAGTGGGCGGGCGTCACGACAGATCTTTATGAGAAAAGGACCGACCAAGCGCGAGTCGGACTAGCGCACGAAGGGCGGTTCTCTAGAGGCTCACGAAGATCGGTGGGCGTTACCACAATTGATTTTATTAGGATGAAAAACTGACCAAGTGCGAGTCACCATTACGCAGTGGGGCCGCCGCTTTATAGAGGAGGCCTTTGCCCAGCAGTGGGACATGAATAGGCTGCTACTTTAGTGCGAGTCAGACCCGCGCACGAAAGGTCCCGTACCATTATCTATAGGAAATGGCAAAAAATCATGCCTACCATATGGGAGCCAAGCATAAATACTATTTTATTCTATATTTTAGTGTCGTTTGTGAAAATTTAAACTTTCTAACTATCAAGGATCATGAGATACAGCCTGGTGACATACAGACATATAGACAGACCGACAACGAAATCAACTCTCAAGACAGATTTTATTAGAAAGAATAAAAAGTTGTATTTTGGTTAATAGGTAGATATTGGGTTATCGCAGGTCCTGTCCTGTGTTCTTTCCATTGATGAATTAATAAAGATGACGCACGTCCATACTGCGCGGCGTTTAAAAATTGTTCACAATAAACCATCATATATAACATACCCAACTTCACCACATCCCCTTTTTTGACGGCGGCACCCTGAGACACCAGATAGCCAAGCATGATCTCGAGTGTCTCCCTGGAACCGGACCACTGGCTGTTCCTCATCAGCTCGTCGATGGTGCCGACTCGCTGCTCTCCGGGCGGGAAATTTTCAAGGAACTGTGTTGCCTGCTCCTGAAAGTAAACTTATTGTGGAGAGCCCAGATCTCAACATTATAACATATACAAGCACATGATGTATAATGTTCATAACCTTCAAATAGCTTTATGTAAATAAAAGAATATTTTTAAGACACATTTTTACACAACATTCTCTACTCCCAAACTAAGCAATGCTTGTACTATGGATACTAGATAACTGATAAACATACTTAAACATACTTTTCTTTTGTAATACATATTATACATATATAAGCACCCAGATACTAGAAAAACACTATGTTCAACACAATATTTTTCCAGTAGTGGGGATTGAACCCACACCCTCTGGCGCAGGAGGACACTACTCACTACGCCATTCGGGTTGTTAAGATACTATTGTAAAATATCCGTACAATATAAGATATATATGTTAAAGGAAGATTACAAGGATAAATTGTTTCATTTTGTTGTGTGTGAATAATTTTTACACAACATAAAAAATGTTTAGTTTCGCTGACATTCGAAATTCATATATTAAGATTGTTATTTAGATATATTTTATGTCCATAGCTTTTCTGTCTGGTTCAAATTGTTTACATTTTCATTATTCTGGGGTGTACACATATACAGCGTGTCATTACAACCGCAACAATAATTGAACATGCATATCGAGGATAATTTTTTAAAATTGTATTAAGCATTTACATTCTTTAAACATCAATAATTACCGAGTTATTAAATTTTACAAAACAAACATTTTTAGAACACCATTACGTATAAAACTGTAACGTAAAGTTTATTTGTAAAGGTCACAAAGCATTTGAATGGGTTGAATGAATTTGAAAGAGATAGAACATCGGTTAGAAGGAGAGACTTGTAATGCAACTTTGTGGCAATGAATGAAAAAGTCTCTGAATGAATGAATCAGTCAGTTGTAGTTGTATAGGATGTTAGAAATTTTTTAGAAATTTAAATTATTTATAGTGCTAATCTTTGCACTTAAGATTGAACATTAAGATATGTAGAAAAAGTGCGAAAAGATTGTCGCCGCTGTGGGAATCGAACCCACGTCTTCGGCTTTCGCGGCCTGACGCTCTAGCCACTGAGCTAAATAGCTGATTGCCACACCAACTAAAATGTAGAAAAAGACGTTAAGATTTAGATTCCGACAGCAGCGACAATCTTTTCGCACTTTTTATACATATTTTAATGTTAGAAATTTTGTTTCTTTTTTATTTAATTAGTTTGTTTCAAAAATATTTTTTTTTAATTATGGATTTTTTAACGTTTAATTTTTTTTTTTTTATGATTATTGGCAAGTAGCGTTAGACGTCTGTTCATTTATTGTCGCGATGGTAACGACACGATGTATACAACACTTAAGTTTGGCGCTTTTGTATAGGAATGTCTCTGTGGTGTATACAGCGTGTACAAAATTTGTAACACCTTTACAACTCGCGCCACAGCGTCGCATTACAAGCCTCTCCTTCTAACAGTATGTTTTGTCTCTTTTAAATTCATTCAACATATTCATATGCTTTGTGACCTTTACAAATGAACTTTACGTTAAGAGTTTTATACGTAAGGATGTTCTAAAATTCTTTGTTTTAGAAAATTTTATAACTCTGTAAATATTGATGTTCAAAGAATGTAAATGTTTAATACAATTTTATAAAGTTATCCCCTATATGTGTGTTCATTGATTGTCGCGATTGTAAAGACACGCTGTATATGTTTACCTGTAATTGATTGTCTTTAACAAGAGCAGAGGCACGGCTCCACAAAATGTTACCTTCACAGCACTTTCGAGCACAAAGCGCTGTGTGCAGTCTATGCTTGCTTTGGGCAGTCCGTCATTGTCGAGCTGCTGTCTAGCAGGAAGCAGTGAGAGCACTGTGGACACGGCAAACACCGCCGGCTTGAAGGCCATCCTCGCGCTCCAATGGACCCAGCCCTCCTGACCATTGTGCAGGATCTGTAGGTATTTGGAGATTGGTGACAGTTCACCATTCCTGGAAAGTTTTGAAGGATATTTCAGTTTATTATTTCATGATCCCGTGGCGCAGTTGCCAAGGTATTCGCTTCCGGAACGGAACAACTATTTGTGTGGCTCACAGATAGTTGTTTCGCATCTGGGTGTTTGTCCGGGTAAAATAATTTATGTTTGTAATGCGTCCGACACAGCATAACATTATCTTAAAGTAAGGGCAAGGTTTTTAAAAAAAATTATGCCGGTTTCATCACGATTTTTTACTAATGAGCGTGTAATAAGTCAGCTTTAACAATTTCAGATGTGCCCACATTGGGATTTGGATTCAAGTTGCTCATGTATACTCCGTAATAAACTAAAAGCATCCATCTGGGCACTGAGCTAAATAGGCAATATAAATGTAGACGGTGGTCGAGAATTTCACACTGTGAGATATTTGCACCTCGGCTTAGTTGAATAGAGCCTCTTAGCCCGGTAGCCTGAAAACGTAGTATCTAATCATGGCAGCATGCATAATTTTTTGAGAATTGATCCATTAAACTCACATTTATTGTCAAAACTGTTCCTATCAGTTTAGTTGTCATATTATGTAATCAATTTAGTGACATGCAAAGAAAGATGAGGCAGACTACAAAACAAAATTTAGTAGGTACTTAGGTTTCTGTTTCCATAAATTTGATTTTCAAGCGTGGCTAATATTTAACTTACAAAGATTAAAGTATTGAAGAGTTACTACGAAGCTATTAAAAGTGGGAAAAAACAAAAAACCTTTATGTTGGTTTAAAAATTTAAATATTTTTTAGTTATTACTTTTTCTTACATTCCTTATAATCCCACACATTATGGTATATTAATTTTTATAAGTAGTGCTCAATTTTATAAATATTAAAATTCTGAAGTACCTTGCATACACACCTATTAATTATTTTGCACACAATTATAAGCATGATTTGGTTATTTTTATCTTAGTGATATAATCTTTAGACTTGAAGTAATCTATTACTGAATTTACTTTTATATAGTACCTATATATAATTGTAAACTGTTTGTCCTAGTTATAAGCAATTGATTATATATTAAATAAATAAATAGAGAAATCGTTTTTCACAACAAATTCAATCTATATGATAAAAGTTATCCATCATATCAAGTAATAAGATATCCTTTAGCTCACATTTTCACCTTCCCGGTGTGATGACCGAATAATGTACCAACAGCAATAACTATAAAAAATCAATTTACAAAACAGTAATAAATAAACCTTGTCTATTATTACACATTTGCTGCAACAAACAGAATGAGTAGAAGGCTTCAAACATTTTTAAATTCATGTTCCTTTGTAGGATAAACAACTATAATTTACAATTTAGGTTTTTCTCATATTGAAATAAGTTTCTGGGTTGCTGTGTCTTTATTTTGAGTATAACAGCAAAAGAGTTTTCTTATGTACATGTATACAACTATTGTGCAATCGAGTAAACAAAGAATTTGGCGCAAATTCAAAATCACGAATACTGCAGATAACTCCAAGGTTAAACAAGCGAAATGCGATGTTTAGTATGTATAAATATTCGCAGGGGCCCCGGTTCAGTGGCAACTTCGTCGTAGTCGGAACAAAGCTTACATACCTAAACATTTCTTCGATTACAATATCTATGCAGGCTGCTGAGCGGCCCTTGCGCTGAAAAGCGCTTTTTACATCAGCCGCCGAGACCACGGGGTCAGTTTTGTACCGGCACCACTGCCGCACCATGTCCGACCAGAATTTCATCTTCATATCCCACGACTCTGGGTTAACCGATTTTATTCTGAATGGCGCAAATAATGCATTCATGCGAACATCGTCCGACCAGCATTGGGGCAGCTTCTCGCTCGGTAATTGCGTATCAGCTAAACCCATTATGGGCGTTTATCGTCACCAATTTAATATATTAGACAACGTATAGACCGTTTGTAAATTAAAATGAAAATAAAACCAAATAAAAAAGCACGCACGCACGATAATCAAACCCTTTTTTTGACGTATAGAAAATATAATACAGATTATACAGACTTATAGAGTAACTAGTAGACATTTGCTACACTGTCTCACAGAGGCAGTAACATATCTTGATAAATATGTTAATACATATTTCTATTCCAGATTTTAAGTTTTGCCACGGTCCGAATAATCATCAAAACTTTAAATTATTATTTTTTAAATATTTCGGGACATATTTTTACACAGCGTTTTCTAGTCCCAAACTAAGCAACGCGTGTACTATGGGTAGAAGATAACTGATAAACATACTTAAACACATAACATTCTTAACATACTTAAACATATTTTCTTTTGTAATCTATGACATTGTTTGCATATTCGCCCAATTATTTAATACATGTTTTGACAATATCAAATTCCCAAAGTTAATGAAATATTGTATTTGTTGTGCCATTAAGATCAGGTTTATGAGATAATGCCATTATTTACCATCCCATTTCTATGTTGTCAGCCTTAAGATAAAATAATACGACATCAAATGATAGTTAATTTTAATAAATATAAAATTTTAAACTAGCACGAATTTGAATTTACGAAAGGTAGATCTACAACTGGTGCAGAGATAGAATTAGTTTCACATATCCTGCAGTCCTGGCAAACCTTCCATGTGTGTTCTATGACCTTTCCAAGGCATTTGACTGTGTAGATCATACAATTTTTATCAGGAAATGGGATTATTATGTTATTCACAAATCTGCCATTAACTTTGTTCTTCGTATCTTACTGACAGGGAACAAAAATTAATCATAAATGGTATATTATCATCGGGGCAGTGGCGGATTTGCCCTTAGGCCCAATAGGCCTGTGGCGACTCATTCGCTATAGTGTAGCACCGCTTTTGTCTTATGTACCCTAACTCTCATCTGGTCTAGCATTACCCTAATATTGACAATTACGCTACGCAGTGCGCATGGTAAAACGTAAATTTCCGCGAGAATCGAAGTTTGTTCGATTCTGGGACGCCGCCTAGGTACGCTTTCTTCTTTTTGTTTTCCCTCCGTGCAGAGAAGCCTACGAGGGAGACTACAACAAAGCCACCTGCGAGTGAGACTATGGAATAACAGCCTGCGAGGAACATATTACAGAACAGCCATGAAGCTATAATCGCTAATTATACAACGCATCTACAATCTACATCGCTATTGGACTTATATTTCGTCCATTGTATGTAGCGCTGAGCCGGCATTTTTTGCATCGGGGCCGGCCATTTTTCTTTCTCTACCGGAGCAACGTCATGTTTGACGGGGAGGAAGTTGAAACGCGCGCCACGCGCGGCAATCACCCGCAACATTATGACAGGTGACTAACAGCTCTCCACTGATACTTCGCGATGGATATAATAATAATAATAATATATTTGGAAGCTAGCAGGGATCTTTGCGATACGGACTCAATTCTCTTTGGCGCTGCACTGGCTGTATGCCGAATCGTTAGCACCAAACTTCCAAAGACTACTAAACCAGGTTAAAAAGAGCAATCATATCTAGATTCTCCGATTCCTTCGAGGAGAAGGTGCGGGGCTTACTAGCAAAGGAATTGTTGCGTACAGAGTATATTACTCAATATTTAAATATTGTTTTTTTTTTCTTCTTACGTTTAGGAATCTAAAAACAGCATAATTTGGAAGTAAAAAAATTTCATAATATTCACTAACCCTCCTTCTTTTTTTTTCTTACTGGCAAGCACTCAAAATTTGAACCCAACGTCCGTTATTGCAACGACACCCGCAATTCATTTGACCAATTGACCTTTCACTTACGTTTTAACTCCGAACAAGATTATGTGCGCGATCGGCTAACGTTAATACGTTTTGGCCAACTCCATATCTTTTTTCCCTTGCTCCAAATTCAATACTAAGTCAGTTCCTCTACCGAATCGAAGTTAGGTGAACGCATCTTCGTTCGACACTTGAAGAGTCTGGCTGGGCAATCGTTCCCCGCTGACTTGCTGCGATCAATTTGGGCCAATCGGCTTCCCCGGTAGGTTAAAAATGGGTTGGCCGCACAGAAGATCCAGGACTTGACGGAGTTCGCGGAGATGGCCGACCAGTTGGTGAAGTTGACCGAGAGGCCTACCACCGTGAGCCAGGTTTCGGTGCACTGTTCTTTTGTGCCCGCTATCGCGTCAATGCAGCGGCAGATCGAGGAATTGACGCGGACAATCGCAGCGCTCAGAACAAACATCCATGAACGATCTGGGAGCTCGCACGTTACTCAACATCGGAGCCGCCCGCAGTCGCGCTCACGCCCACGCAACTTTTATTGGTACCACGATCGTTTTGGCATCAGAGCAAGCAAATGTATGCCAGGATGCAGCCAGACAAATGAAGGAGCTACCAATCCTCTAAACTCGGACGTGGCAAGTACCGACAGCGCACAGTCCAGTCGCCTTTTTATTACCGACCAAAATACCAAAATTATTTTTTGATAGATACCGGCTCAGACATTTTGTTCTTTTCCACGAAAACTTATAAAAGGACGTTTCTCAAATACAGGACTTACACTCAATGCAGTAAATGTCAGCTCCATTAAAACTTACGGCACAGTTAATTTAAACTAATTTAATTTAAATTTTGGACTGCGCCGTGAATTTTCGCTGGGAGTTCATTTGTGCTGACGTGGACGTCCCAATTATCGGTTCGGACTTCCTAGCCTTCCTTCACCTCCTACCCGAATGACCCCAAACAGAATGGGCCCATAGGCCATTTCTGTTTTTAGTTTTTATTAATGATTTGCCATATATGGTAAAAAAAGGTCTTAAATCGTTTTGTTTGAGGATGGCGCTTCACTAGTTAGATAAGTTAGCTGTTAGCTAAGAAATTGAGTTATTGTAAGCTAAGAAATTGAGTAATAATTTTTTTTGTATAACTAAATTTGATTTTTTTTCATTCTTCATCTCTTAAGATCAACCTTAAAATGTATTATTTTTTTAGTAAAAAGTTGAGGGAGCAGGCCGTTCACCTTATTATGTTAACCGGACCTAGTCCTCTGGATATAACAACCTCCAATTCATCAAGAAAAAAAATGTTTATTTTTTTTTGTTTTCCGTTAGAAATATGTTTTCAGATTTGTGACACACTTTTATTTTCTCTTCAAATGTACGCGAATGAAAACAAAGACGTTTCATAAGAAATTCCATATTGTGTGTGTATGTTCGTGCTCCATTTATATCGATAAATTGTTTTGGAATAACGGAACGAAGTAGAATTTATAAAATTTTGACAACGACACTGTCATTACTGATTGACGAAGTCAGGGTTGCTAGTTCAGTGATTTTCTCCCGAAATTTAGGAGGTAAACAAACGCTTTGGGATTTTTGAGGGGCGTTACATTTTTAGGGATTTTGGACTTCTTACTTTATTTCTTGTTTTTTTTATTAAGAAAAGTAAAGAGCCTGGAATAACGCAATCTACCCAATCACATTTATATGTTGACCCAGCAGTTTAGCGACATCTAGTGCGGTTTTTCATTTTTAAGAAAGCAGAGTTGAACTTTGGAGATGAGATAGTGTCCGTCAAAAAGCATTCAACAGCGGTAGCGTAAGATAGATTTTAAAGAAAGCGCCAAAAGTAATTAAGGTTTTTTATCCTTCATTATGAATCTAAATTTTGAAATTACGGTAAAAATATTGGTCGTGTGAAGAAACCATAACAGACAATTTATAATATAGCATACACAATTTATAAAAATATTATATATTTTTGTTCAAACCCTTTTTTAAAACCAACATTTTTGCAATATGCTGCTAATATATAAATCTACTTTAATGTATTATTCCATTCATGCGGAAATTAAGGCAAACAATTTATTATGTATCTCTTATTCAATAATATTTTTTTTAATCGGTTTTAACACCTTTAAGTATATTTGTGGTGACTGTACTGACTGATTGAGTGACTGACTTTAATAATATTTTATTGGTTTTAGGGGTTTTTGATTAAGTCAAATAGGGACAAATATTTTTGAGAGTTGATAACACTGGACGATGTCAATAAAGTAATTATTTCATAATTCATTCTTCATTCTACCGATCGCTTTCATGTTTTTAATTGTATTATTTTAAAAGCAACCAAAGCCGCGATACATTATCATTAGAGATGGGTCGTATCGCTTTTTCTGAGTACCGTATCTGAATCAGATATTGATTTCAAATATCAGATTTCGAAACTATGTATTTTAATATCTAGATATTTTACGGTCCCGTATCCACCTTGAATTCTAAAAAAAAAAAATAAAGAGTATTTAAAAGTTGATTCATTCTATGTACATAATTTTCCTGATATTTAAAACTTAACTTATTTACAATGATGTGTGGGTTAATAATTATTTAGATTCCTCCGGGTTTAAATTCACGTTTACGAACGTAAGCTGTTTGCCTTTATTCGTCGAAAGTCTTGTTCGACGATCATTAAAAGCTATTACCAGTGATACCAACTGTTCAAAAAGAATACTTCTAAATAAATTCGAAAACTCACTCAAATTGACTAAATTCAAAAAACTTACTGATTTTAAAATCACGATTTTTTTATACTATTAAGGTTTAAAACATTACCTGATTAAATTAAAAATTTCATAAAAAATACAAATTGAAGTAATATAAAAATGATTTATTTTAACATCTTATATATCGCTTAATAATAGACTTAAACATATTTTTAGAACACGCAATCATGAGTGACAATATTTTTATAATTTGTGTAAGAAATAATACATTCAGTATTAATACTTTTGAGCGGAAGAATTTAAAATATACACACAAAGCACATAAGCCTTGGTCTGATTTCCACCCAAGCAGCACAGCACTATTAAATTATGTTTTTCTTTTTGTGTACTTTTATTTTTTTCCAAAAATATGAATAAAATTTAACTAATAAAAATATTCACAAAAAATTTACCTCCTAAAAAATTTCCATTTATATTTTTCTTCCTTAATTTAGGCAGAAAATTCTTAAGTAGTAAGTTGGCATCCCTTACTATTACGTGCTTAGTACCAATGCAATCCAGCTCAAGACTAAACAAAATTTAAAGACATCGTTAATACCATAATTCGTATTTAAATGCAACAGAAATTTTTTTCCATGCTGTTAAGATTCAAAATAACTTAACTGCGCGCTTTGTCGCCCGTTACGGCTCAAGGCTAAACAAAACAATAGAAATATAATAATATCGTTTAGAGCTGTAACAAACCGTATGTATTCGTTACTGAGTAACGGGTACGCCATCTAGTACCGAGTAACGAAACGTTACACACAAATACATATCGTTGCTCGCATCTTTCGTAGTATGGGTACCTACACTGTTTAAGTTCACGCAAGTACCGTTGATGTGTGTATTGAATGAATCATTTGCTGATCATATGTTTTACGCATGCGCGAGGTTATTCGGTGAAGTTAAAAACGTACGTTTACAAAGAGAGATTTATGTTTATTAAGTGAAGTATAATTTGGAAATTAGTCGTCCAAATTTTTTACTGTTTATTAAAGGTATTGTGTGTGTAGACAAAGTTTTAGATTAGAACAGAAACAAGATAAGAAAGTATTTCTTACAAATTAAAAATATGTATATTTTGGTTTTTTATTATCACGTAATTTCATGTTTTTTTTGTTCTTATCCCAAAAGAGATATTGTAGTAAAGCCGTTTTAATGATATTTAATTGTTTCTTGTTTAACAAAAACTATTAATTATCAAATATTGTCTAAAAATATCTAACATAGCATGTTATGAGGTAGCGAAAGTAACGAGTAACGAAACGATACTATAGTAACGAGTACTAATTGTTGTAGTAACGAAGACATACGGGTACGCTTTTTTTCGTTACTTTTACACCTCTAATATCGTTGTAGTAATCTTTGATACCATGATTAGTATTTCATTAAAACGGATCTTATTTGCATGGTGTTAAGATTCAAAATTACTTAACTTATTCATAATATCTGTTTAAAAAATCTGATATTGTGCCTTGCTTGCCGTACTGCTCTAACTAGTGTAATATTTGTATCTCACGCGCTTTGTCGCTCAAAATCTGTTTAAAAATCTGATATCGTGCATTGCTTGCCGTCCCGCTCTAACTAGTGAGTATTTGTATCTCACGCGCTTTGTCTCTCGAAATCTGTTTAAAAATCAGATTTGTGGCAAACGCGTATGATATCGCGATTCGTGTCGGTATAGAGAGCGAGCACGGTACATCAGATTTCGGAAATATCAGATATTATAAAATACATAGATATTGAACGAGCCCGTAAGCGATATTCGGATATTGTACTAATATCTAGTTTTCATATCTGATACGATTTGCATCGCCCACTTCTAATTATCATTAATTTTTCCATCGTTAGTGTCTTTGATCGGTGAGCGATAGAATAGTTAAATTGAGACAATTTTGTGGACGTGTAGAATACGTGAAACGAAACTTAACCTTCAATTTAAGACGTATAGGGTCAAATCAGGATAAGATATAATAGCATAGCTTGCACGCCCGTTGACTATTACCATAATTTCGGTCGATACCGCTATTCGTGAATTATTTATACAGTGAACGATTCTCAGTGAACTCTAGATTCTTGGCTTCGGTGGAAGAACGGAAAATGTTCCTGAGGCACTGTCTTCGAACGTTCTCTGACTCTAGCATTCGTCTTCTGCTAAAGAACAACGTTACGGCATCGAGTTTCGTAAACTACAAAAGCGTTGCATCCTTGTCAACGTCCAAGCTTGCCCTGAAGGGCGAAAAGTGAGTAAATAATTTATTAATATACTTAATTAAAATAATTCATTATTTTTTTATTGCACATTGTCATTTTATAATCTATGGTATCATGATAATGATTTTGGTAATTATAATAACAATGCTGCAAAGATATGATGAAATTATAACAGTTGTTTTTAATGACAAGATGTAATTAAACAAATTGTTCTATGCGGATTTGAAGACATCTTGCCAGTTTTCTCTTTTTTTTTGTGTAATTTTTATGATTTTTCAATTGCAGTTATGTATTTATGGTACATTAAATATTGTTTAATAAAGCCACTTAATAAAAATGAAAAAAAAAAAAACACATTTCTAATATGTACATATAGAAATTCCTTATCATGATATCATGTAATATCTAATCAAGAGTATTTCAAACCTTCAATAGTGGTTTTAATGTTATGGACTGATATGTTATGTTATCTAAGTGACTAATTCTGCGTAGCTTATTCGTTTTGTCAAGAGAATTATTACAATGAATTCCATCGGATCATTTTACTGTGTTAGGGTCTTGCCTCAGTCTTGGCTGTTGCATGAACGGGCCGGCCCATCTGGGGATGTACCACAACTTCACAAAAGAAAAGGTTTAGTGCCAAAGGGGCTTTCAACCATGCTACGTATTTGACATATTGTCTGATATTGATAATTTATGTTGCCTGTGTACATTGGAAATCTATACAGATAAATAAAATTGGAGTGTCTGTTTGTAATATTAAAATAACCTCTTTTTACTAAATGGATGTATACACGGTACACATACCAAAATAATTTTTTTACAATTTTTGTCTGTCTGTCTGTTTGTTCCGGCTAATCTCTGAAACGGCTGGTCTGATTTGGACGGGACTTTCACTGGCAGATAGCTGATGTAATAAGGAGTAACTTAGGCTACTTTTATTTTAGATTTTTTTAATTTTAAATTTTTTAATTCCACGCGGACGAAGTCGCGGGCACAGCTAGTAATAAATAAAAATTTATATTTTAAAGATATGTGAAATCCAAAGCGCATTGCGGTCGCATGGTGCACTGTGCCCTGATACCCTCTGTACAGATGAGGCCTTTGCCCAGCAGTGGGAAATTGTAGGGACATTTATAGACATTTACAATGAAAATTATTATTTAACTCTTAACCTTAATTTGCAAATGTGTCCATATAATTTATTGAACAATTCTTGCATGCAACTAATTTTCTTACAAGAATATAAACTTTTCAGGTATAAAGAATAAGATAATGTCGGACATTATTCGGTCCTACATAAATGAATGACAATTCGAGAAGTAACATTTTCAACATATGTTCATTGCATCGTTTCTTACGAATTCGTCTGTTAGGGTTCCGTACTTAAGGCGCTGTATGCAGTAAAAATAGGTTTTTCAAAAAAAATTTTAACAAAATCTATACATTTTATAGAAGCAATAAAATTTATGTTAATCTTGATCTTACATTCTAATGGACCATTGTTTTAAAAACATATTCTCGATATATTTTCTCGATAGAAAAAATCACGAACTTACCTCTAAACGTGAAATTCAAATAAAAAAAAAATAGATATAATAAATATTCTTGTTGTCTTATTATTATTAGTTAATGCAGGTTTCGTCATGGTCTTCCTCCGCAAAGCAAGTGATATGTCAGCAATTTCATTGGTGCCGGCACCCGGATCTGTACTCAGGTTGTCCGAGTATATCGAATCATGAACTGGCCAAGTGCGAGTCGGTCTCGCGCACGAAGGGTTCTGTACCATCCTTACTTCCTTACTTATATTATAAAGGCGAAAGTTTGTATGTATGGATGGATTTTTGTTACTCTCACGCAAATACTACTGGATGGATTTTAATGAAACTTTACAATTATATAGCTTATACATCAGAATAAGACGTAGGCTATAATTTTTATACATAGTTTATGTATATCTGTCTTTCTGTCTGAATGTTACGCCTTCAGCCTATTCTACGCAGACGTAGTCGCGGGCAGCAGCTAGTTATCTATAAAAACGTCAATAGCATGATGTCCGTTGTACGGGAGTCCCACTTTTTTTAATTCTGTTTTTTAGTATTTGTTGTTATAGCAACAACAGAAATAGATAATCTTTGAAAATTTCAACTGTCTAACTATCACGGTTCATAAGATACAGCCTGGTGACAGACGGACAGACAAACAGCGGAGTCATAGTAATAGGGTTCCGTTTTACCCTTTGGGTACGGAACCATAAACACAAGAGCCCGAACACTCATCTATCAAGGCTTAATTTTTTCGTAAATAACTTAAATAATACAACAGTCTAAAATATTAGTGTCGCCTAGAAACAGTTTAGAATACCTTATTTAGAACAGGCAACAAAGTAACTAGAATACATTAAGGGCCGAGCACGTCTTAGACATCAATGTACCATTGTTCAATAATGTGTTCTTTAAGGCGCTGTATGCAGTAAAAATAGGTTTTTCAAAAGATTTTTTAGCAAAATCTACACATTTTATAGCATAAAAAAAAATATATGTTAATCTTGATCGTACATTCTAATGGAACAATGTTTCCAAAACATATTCTCGATAGATTTTCTCGATGGATTTTCTCGATAGAAAAAAATTATGAAACTACCTCTAAAAGAGAAATTCAAATCCAAAAATGAACGTAATACATCAACAAATCTTAATGAAATTAATATCAGTGGTGTAGAATATATTAATAAAAGGGTTGTTTTAATTTTTGATTGATGTAAGATATTTGTAAATATTAATTTAATTCATTAAAATTAATTCGAACGCGATGGCCAAAACACCGCGCCACCGCGGCGTTGTTTCGGCTCTCTTCCAATTCCACACGTTGAACAGAGAGCGCTGAGGTGCCTAGCTAGATGGACCTATACCGCTCATCGCCCGCTCACCGTTACGAAATATGTTTCGTATATATTTATTATTGACAGTTAATATTATTAGACCTTCCAAAACACGAAACTAAAAATATATATATTCACATATTACGTATTTATAAATTATTTGTAACAGTTATTAATTAATTTATTTAAAGCGTAATTTCAATGTCTTATCTCATGATTGATTGGTCTATCAGTCCTATACATAGAGTATATAGGACCATCATTCTATATGGATTGGGTTCAAATCCGTAAATTTTTTTTGTACTTATTGTTGATTTTCTTATATGAAAATATTTCATAATTACCATTTAATTTTTGTTGATTTTTTATTTTCATAAATAATTACAACGAAATATTATTGTATTTATTCAAAGTTGAAACAGTTGGAGAACAATCTATCAGTAAATAAACCAACTTTTAGTATTAAAATTTTTTAACGTCATCTAGTTTTTTATTAAAATATTTAATTTTTCACCCTAAAACGAAAATTTATCTTATACATGAAAAGTAATTGTTTTATCATTTTTCTTATTAATTTGTTTATTTCCCAAATTGAGCCATTGTATAAAATAAAATATATAAAACAAATTAAAAGTGAAAATAATATAAAAAATACAACTCCACTCGAGGAGGGTTTGAAGTTGAGACTACAGCAATAGTTTACCGTTGTGTATAACGCTCGGACCAACAAGGCTACGCGAGGTCTGTGGAAAGTGACAAAATTTCGATTCTTGTTATAATTGCTGTCGTTTATCGATACAAATAAAGATTTTATCGATAGTTTTTTAACTTTCATTTTAGTTGAGAAAGTCATATTACAAAGTAAATCTTGAACATTTAAAGGATAAATTCAAATTCCATATATATAAAAAAATGTCATAAAAAAAGTTGTATTCGTAATTTCTGCAAAAATTTTATGAGCCATTTCTTTAAAATAGCATTATAACCCATGAAAACAAAAAATAACAATTATAAGTATACATAACATTTTTTCTTTATTAATTTATTTGACTTTAAGATGTATTTTTAATCAATTCCTTTTCCATTTAATTAAAAAAAATAATAAACAGGAAGAAGATTTTCTAAAATTGTTGATTGCTTTCTCATACTTTATATTTGTTTGTTAATTATTATTTCTATTATAATATAAAAGTAAAATACAATCATGGTCTATAAAAGATATTATAGGGATCATCTTTGTACCTTTTCAAAAGCCTTCCATGATACTATCGATAGTATCCTACGGCGCATCACTACACACACACAATGACTTGGGTCTAGCGGCGCGTCGACGAAACTTGCGCGCTGCGCGCCGCTAAGCGGCGTTACCCCTCCTCCGCTTCCTCATACTTCACCACCCAAATAGTTAAAAATTCACTACATACAGCGACTTAAAGTGTAAAACGGGACCTTATTACTAAGACTCCGCTGTCTGACCGTCTGTCGCCAGGCTGTATCTCATGAACCGTTATAGTTAGACAGTTGAAATTTTCACACATGATGTATTTCTATTGCCGCTATAACAACAAATCCCCGCACGAATGAAATTGTTAATTTCAAGTGCTGAATTATCACGTGCTCAACGGTGAAGGGAAACACCATAAGGAAAAACCTGCATATTTTTCGAAATAACAATAAAAAAATGATTTCGAAGACATGTGAAGTCCGTCAATCCGCACTGGGGCCGCGTGGTGGACTATGCTCCGACACTCTCTGTACAGAGGAGGCCTTTCCCAAGCAGTGAGACATGTATAGGCTGATACGTTACTTTACTTTTACTTAGGGTCAAGGTCACGTTCGTCCTGAACGACGGCAAGCGCCTGCAGACTGAGGCTAACGTGGGCGACTCGCTGCTCGACGTGGTGGTGAACAACGACCTGAACATCGAGGGGTTCGGCGCCTGCGAGGGCACCGTCACCTGCTCCACCTGCCACGTGATCCTCAAGCCCGAGGACTTCGACAGGTGAGCGGTGATGAGGGCACCAGCCGATCTTCATGACCGGCACAGACCACGTAGTAGCCTCGCATAGACGTGTCGTATAGTTCTGCGTTGGGTGCCAGGCTCACGCTTTCTATGTCGGCGACTCGCCGTTTCAATTTTTTTTTATATCTGATGGCGGAAATTCGTATGATTCAGCGTGTCGCCAGTTGAGTGCGAGGCCACACGCTTTTTAAATCGGAAGCAGCGATTTAGATTTTTTTACGTGAAAAGGTGGCTAACGAACTGGTGGTTCCCGATGCTAAGTGATAACCGCCGCCTGTAGACATCTGCAACTTGCAACATCTGTACGGTTGGAGATGCGTTGCCACCTTTGAACAAAGTGGGCCCCGATTACCGCACTTACCGAACAAAACGCAGAAGCACAACAATTTCTTATCACGCCTGTCTACGAGGTCTCGTGGTATTTACGACGATCCCTAGGTGTTTGTCATGCTATTTTACATCACTAATCGCTACACCCATCCGGGTCGAGAATTAAGAGACAATTACTCCTGCCACAATTGACGACCTGAATGGCGTAGTGGTTAGTGTACCTGCCTCCTGCGCCAGAGGGTGTGGGTTCGATCCCCACTACTGGAAAAATATTGTGTGATGAACATAGTGTTTTTCTAGTGTCTGGGTGTTTATATATCTATAATATGTATTTATTTATAAAAGAAAAGTATGTTTAAGTATGTTTATCAGTTTTCTAGTACCCATAGTACAAGCGTTGCTTAGTTTGGGACTAGAAAATGTTGTGTAAAAATGTGTCTTAAAATATTTATTTATTTATTTAATTGTATATTAATCTGTAGTTTTTTTTTATGTGAGAAAGGGGCAAGTGGTTTTGCGGTGGTAGGGCCACGCAGCAGTCTCAGCTGTTGCACGAATGGGCAGGCCCGTCCGGGTAAGCACCACGATCTCACAGAAGACCAGCGTAAAGTGGAAGTATGACAAATACTTTCGCGTTTCGTCTGGTGAGTGAGGTAGCCGGAGCCCAATTTTCAAAAGGTTGTCAACGCGTCTGTAACCCTCGAGTGTAGCAGATGTCTATGGGCGGCGGTATTCACTTACCATCAGGTGAACCGTCTGCTCGTTTGGCAACTTTTCACAAAAAAAACGTGAGCGGGCGGTTCAGCCTATGTTAAGTTATAACTGCCGCCCATGGACATTTGGGTTAGAGATGCGTTGTCACCTTATAAACTCTCACCACATCCTGGCTTTACTGGTAGGGACTTTCTTCGGGCATTAACTCCGGCCTGTGTTACCTTGTTTTACTTAAGGTTGGCAATAAAGATTAAATAAATAACAAAGTGGGCCGCGGCTACCTCGACGGCTAACAAGACGAAACGCGGAAGCATAACACTCCCACATCACGCCGGTCTTCTGTGAGGTCGCGGTACTTACCCGGACGGACCTGCCCATTCGCACAGCCGAAGACGTTGCGTCGCCCCGCCACAGCTATAATTCAGCAATAACTGTGGTAGGGCCGTATCTGTAGTTATGTGGCTTTATGCAATAGGCTTCCAGAAGAGGCGAGCGACGAGGAACGCGACATGCTGGACCTGGCCTACGGGCTGACGGACACATCACGACTGGGCTGCCAGATAGTCCTCACGAAAGAGCTGGACGGCCTGGAGGTGAGGGTCCCGGAGACGATAAACGACGCGCGGAGCTGATGCGGTCGACGACCCCAACAGATAGATAAAATGTTAGATAGACAATGAAATGGTTGTAAAGTTTGTAACAAAATCTAGTTAATATTAGCGTATTATCCTATTTTTGTACCGACTTCAAAAAGGAGGTCTCTCAATTGGACCGTATATATATTTTTTTGTATCCACGATACGGTTGCAACGGACCGTACATGTTTAATTACTTATTTCGCACCCTTAACAATTAAAGGGACCTAATTAAGGAAATCATGATTTTGACTCTGTCAGGAAACGACCTAAAACCTTTTTTAGACTCATTAAAACAAGGGCCGATTTTAGAAAATTACATAATGTATACTTTTTACCCTTACACTCCGCTCCAATCACCGCATTTGTTCCTAAAAGCACAAATCTTTATTTTATGTTTCCTCGAAAATTGATATTTTTTAAATAGGTCACTATAATTCTAAAGGTGCGATTTGTTAATATATTTGTAAAGGTGCGATATGTTAATATATTTGAGCTGTTGCAACTGGATTCTCGTCTGCAACTTCCTTATTGCGATCCTACGAATGGACAATGCCTTTCCGCAGGCCGTAAAATCAAGGTTTTCGTGGTCACTTTTTTAAGAGGAAGCAGGTATTGGAAAATAAAACTTCCCTTACGAAATTACTCATGTGACATGCCATTTAAAATGCTTGCAAGAAGTCGCTAAATGTCATTCAATTTATCAGTCAAAATCTCCGCTGACGACTAACGAATTTCGAATATTATCTCGTCTACTAAGATCAAACTTTGTTTTTTATGTCTTGATTAATAATATTATATACGAATATGGCACTAGCGCACCGGAACTGTGGCCCTGAGATTACGCCAATCGGTGTAATTACATTGCAACTCCGCATCATTGATCTTGACCAATATTAAGTTACGTTTTCTTTATTAAAGCAAGCAATATTTTGTCTGTTTAGGTGTATTCACAGCAAACTGTTAGTTTCACTGAAATTTAATAAAATAAAAAAAAGATTTAGATAAAATACAACCATGTAAAAAAAATGAATTTTATGGAAGACAAAATGATTAGAGTTTTTGCCGCGCATTTGAGGACTGTCATGTTTGAATAGTAATTTCGTTTGTAATACGGTGGTTGAGGGTTTTAACGATTAATCTAGCAAATGTCAACGTTTATAGTTAGTAATAAGAGTTTTAAGGCAGCAAATTAATTTATTGTAAACCAATTTATCATTAAAGATTTGCTAACGTTAAAATTATTTAAGATTTTATAGACAATAATCGCTAAAGGAAGCGATTAGAAAATTAGGATTGACTGTATATTTTGAAAGCTATATAAATAAAACAAATGTCCCAATTTCCTTTAAATAAAAAGCATTGTTAATGAATTTATAGTGGTTTTGTAGTTTTATAGAAACAATAAAAATGTTTTTATCAAGTTATAATATTTGTTTTATTCTTATTTTTTAATTTATGTAATAAAATATTAGTCAAAAAAGATAGGTTAGTTAGATAGATAGTTACTAGTCATAGATTGAATTTCAGTTGCGTATAAAGAGTTAGAGAGATATATTTTTTGCAAAAGTCAAAGAGATGCAGACAATGAAATTTCACATCTTTTGTTTCCCATAAAAGATGTGAAAATTATCGAATATCTTTTAGTATAATGGGTTCTATGCCGTTTCTATCAAAAAGGTTCTTTCAAGATGGCGTTTGAGGCTCCACCGGAAACTGTTAGCATTTTGTGATTTTATACTCAGGAAGTGATCCAATACATTAAAAACAAAAAAAATGTACCTATCGGTAATTCAGTGCGAAGTTAAATTCTATTTATATAGCCTAATAGTCGTTCTTTCCGTTTCGTTGAAATTTCACTACAAAAGTTGCTACTGAAGCAATCGAAAAAGATGTTTGATTGAAGTTTCCCTAATATTTATTTCTTTATTTATACATTTCTTATAAGGCTTAAAAGGCTAAGGCTTAAAAGTAATTTGCATTAAAATAACAAAAAAAAATGTAATAATTAATATTTAAAGCATTATTTTTTAAAAACTGTCTTGGACAAAATTTGTTGCAAGCCAAATGCGGTGTAATTATAAAAATAATGGAAGATCGATAATACAATCCGTTATCATAGACCGCAGCATGCGATTGTTAATTAAAAAATCGATAAAATGATTGTTTGATGAATAGGGACTCTTGCATTTCATTTACTTATTTTAAACACTATTAATTATTAGATTCCTGGATGCAAATGGCAGTGTCGTTCGTTGTGGCGTTCTAAGGGGGAGGCCTATGTTCATAGATAAGACATATATACTGAAATAACATACTATATAACTAATAATAACATAACATATATACTGAAATATAGACATATATACTGCCTATGTTCAACAGTGGACGTCTTGCGGCTGATGATGATAAATTATTAGAGCCCTAATGGTAAGTTAAAGTCAACCTTGCACATAGAGCCGTTTCAACTAAGTATACCACATACTTAGCGTTTCAGTTGTTCCATAATGAATAATTTGTTCCAACTTATTTGATAATAATACCTACGCGTCTAGCTGCAGTAAATTGTGCATTAGTTATTTTTATGAACATTATTATAAAAACTAAAAAATAACTGTGCGGGCACGGTGAAGCGATGTGGACGAGGGTTTGTTTGTTCTTCAATCACATTAAAAGTTAGTTTAATTTAGCATTGAGCAATTATGCTATTAATAAGGGATGGGTTAAAATATCGATACATCATAATATCGATATTCCGTATCGATGTGTATTTATTGACATCTAGTTTTATTCATGAATATTAATACTTAGATAATCTAAAGCTTAAAAAAAAATTAACGGTGTAGAAAAGTAGTCTTCAGAAATTATTTATAACATGTTTTTTTATTATACCCCTATTTTTATTATACCCTATTTTATATATATTGGTTATGCTTAGTATTCTCACTATATAACTTCAACAAAAAAAAAAAATTAATTATAGCGCGAAAATGATTAAAAATAAAAGTATAAAATTTTAAGGATAACGAATTCACTTGATCAGTTTTCCCAAACGCGCCTAAAGAATTATAACGTCAAAACCCCATTAACCTCTCTTTAGGAGGTGAGTTGATCCGTTCAAATTTAAGATAAATTATGTGGCATTTCATGACTCTTTTTTCAGAAGTCGTCTTTAGATTTGCCATACTTCTTGGGTATTTTCCGCTAGTGCTGCTTCAATCGTGAATTACATTTCATTTATACTACATTTGTGTATTATTTTTAACGAGTTTTGAATATTTTAGGCAATATGTATGACGCAAATGCAATAAAATAACGATATATCAACATTTTATACTCAATAATTATCGATATTTTTTAAAAATATCGATATTTATTCACTTGAACATCCCCATTATTAATGCAGCTATCGAATTACATTTTCCCTCGCGTTTGTAGAAACAGTAAAAATGATGTATTCTCTCGTGGCGTTATTGTTCCTCTCGAGTAAGTTTTATCCGGCGATTGTAAGTTTTAGTCGTTATTTCTTTTATAAAGATGAATTGGGATATACATAAATAACATTTTTATATTATTTTCGATGTTATTTTAAATGTAATATTCCTTCTTACACTTTTAGGCTTGAGTAACCGCTAGTTTTCGCGCACTATATGTACCTAAACGTTGTTGTGATATTTTATAACTTTTTATTAATTAAATGCAATTCAACGTAATATTACAACGAAGAAAATTAAATTAAATTTTCTTGTAAATTTTTGGGAAGTTTTTCAATATAGGTATATGTAACAATTCTAACTTGAAACAGTTTCTATTTAATATCTTAAATTTAATATTTATATTTCTTTAAAAGTTCAATTTTCAATTAAGGATCTTTTCAAGGACTTATAGATGTCAAAATGTATTGCGTTCATAAAAAGAAGTTCCGTGCAGAGAATAGCAGCCAAAAACTCTGCAGACACATTGTTTTCTATTTCTTTTATTATATTGAACGAAGAAACGTAGACTTTCTTGGAGATTCTTGAAGACTCTAGAAGAAAATTCATCATGATGGGATCGATGAGATTATTATTTTTATAATCTAAATTTTCTTTCAGCCGGCATCGTTCATAGCAGCCGACTGCCTCACGTTTTTAACAAACTGCGAGTCGGGAGGTATCCTCGGACGATAAATTTCGATAACAGGCCTCTGAGGTTGCACGAGAAAAACCAATTTTACACCATCTACGAGAACTTTCCGCTGCGAAAAAATTTGAGATTCGATGACATTACGTCACTTTTCCCGCCAAAAGCCAAAATCGTAACAGATTCGCTAGAAAATACGTTCGATGAGAACGGCATGATATTATTGACACGTCCGCGCAATGATGAAGACAGATTATTGAACGAATTGCTTAACGATGTCATTTTATACAAAGCAGCGAAGAACGAGAGAGCTCTAAGAGATGGGAAGCGGGGAGTTAACAGGAAAGAATCTTTGAAAAACGTATTAAGAAGTAACGACAATTCGAACTTCGACAGCGCTGCGACGCCGAAACTTGTGTTCGATTTTAACGAAATTGTAGGTTAATTTCAGATGCATATATGAGAAAATATAAAATGGGTCATATGAAATTGTTTAGAGCGTTCAAGTTATCAAATTTAAATGATACCGTACATGTTTTAAGATGGCCTCAAACCGAAGAAAATAATTTGACCTGTACTTCAATTTTTATTTTTATCAATCCTCCTTTTTATCAATTTAATTATTATCAATCCTCCTTTCCATATCCCATCAAGGTGGGGTCGGTACAACGTGTGAATCATGTTGTAAGATTTTGGCTAATATGCTTTTTACGAAGAATCGACCTCACGACCCCCGACGCCGAAGCGTTAGCGATAGCATTGCAAACTCAAGTGATAACCTAAGGTTTATCCTTGCGCCTCGGCAAATATGAAACGTATTCTTGACATCAGGCGTGGTGGGCAGGAATCGTAAAAATCACTAAATTCGAAATGTGCACCCCGCATTAAGCGGGTCTATCTGTCCACAGTCATCCCTGCTTCATCAGTCAACCGCCAAGACTGCATACAGCGCCTTAACCAAGCGACGTGATCCACCCGATCCGCGTGGTTTGGTTTGGATCATCATTTCAGCCCGTTTGAGTCCACTGCTGAACATAGGCCTCCCCCATAGACTGCACGAAGTACGACCCTGAGCCTACTGCATCCATCGACTTCCCGCTTGGTTTGCACATAATTTGTTATTCACCCAAGATCTGATTTTCATCAACTTAATGTTTTGCCCAGAAACGTTTAATAAAACTATTCGATTTCTTACCTTACATTATCAGCATTGTAAAATTATAGGTACTAAAAATTATACGACATTTTACGTCACATTCGTGACGCGAACTCTATCGCCCATGTTTCTAGGAGTTTCAATATTTTTAGGGTTCCGTACTTCAAAAGGTAAAGAAAGGAACCCTTATAAGATCACTCTCGTGTCCGTGTGTCACCACCGATTTTCTCAGGAACGGGTGGACCTAGTGACTTGAATCTTATTCCAGATGCTGAGGTCTATAGTCCTTATTAGGTGTATAAAATGAGTCCACACGATAAAAATATATGGGCAAGTACCATTTCGCATGGACAAACTTTAATTCAATATACTTGTACTATTTATTTATTTATACTTTATTGTACACCAAAAATAAAAATATATAAAAAGCAAATTACAAATGAATATAAAAGGAAGTACAATAGGTGGTCTTATCGCTCAGAAAGCGATTTCTTCCAGACAACCATTGTGAAAAGAATATTTTTGCTAATGAGACATAAAGAAGAGAGCAGAGGGAGGTGTACATAAATCACTTATGAACATCGGATGAAGGCATTTATACGTCGATGAGATAGTCAAAGATTTCGGGAAAAATAGGAAAGGAAAAAGGAAAGCGTGAATTCACAGTTCCAAGTAATGAGCTTTTGTATGTACTAATGTTAATTTTTAAGTGCTGACTTTATCACGTTCTCCGCGGTGAAGAAAAACACCATGAGAAAACCTGCATATTTTCGAAATAATAACAAAAAATATATTTCGAAGATATGTGAAGTCCGCCAATCCGCAGTGGGGCCGCGTGGTGCATTATGCCCTGACACCCTCTGTATAGAGGATGCCTTTACCCAGCAGTGGAACATGTACAGGCTGTTACTTTACTTTTTTATTTTTTACCCACATACCGTGTCTCCCATGTGGGGATCGAACCCACGACCAGCGGCACTGAAGAACATGACCTACCACTGCGGCATCTGTGCCAAATAACATGTGCCGTAATAGCCAATCATTAATCTTTTTCTCGATAGTATTCCTAGTAAGTTATTCGGGTAAATTTTCCCAATAAGAAGTACAGTATCCTGTACTCGTTTGTTTTGCACATCTAACTTTGAAAAGAGACAATTCGGCAAGTTTCCTTTTCGTAGAGCGTTATCTCTCTCGCACGAAACACTGAAGTCCGGTAGCAACTGACGAACCTCACATAGTGTGAGAGAGAGAACGCTCTATGAAACCGATATTAGCCGATTGTCTCCTTCTCGTAGTTCATGGGAAATATTTATCGTCGACTACTATAAGTTTGCAAGTAAACTGGTGATGAAGAAAAACACACGTATAATAGAATCATTTATTTCTAATGATATAAAATATTAAATAGTAGCCCATTCCTTATCGCTGCGGACGCCGTCGCGTCAGGCGACAACAAAACGAATAACTGCATTACAAAAAAAATAATCATATAAAATTAAACACAAATAGTGACAACCCTGCCTTTCGACTAACAACTAAGTAGGTACTAACCGACACACCCCTAGACCTTCCACGAAAATACTAACTAGCGGCTCGGCGGTGAGGGCCGTCGGTTGCTTTGGTAGTAACCAGGTTCGATCTTCGATAGATATTGTCAAACTGAGATTTGAATCAAACAACCTACGCAGTAGGGGCCCTCGCCAAACCAGCACGCGGTTACCGTTACAAAATTTTCACCTTCCTAATATATGTCTTGTATACATCCACCACAAATTTTGACATATACACAATTGAATTGGTCTGAACACTTCCTACAGAACGAAATGCATACACTATTTTAATCAGTTTCGGGAAAAGAAAATGATACATTAACTGTCAAGTATTACCATAGACAAAACTTTTGTTTTATAAATAAAATTCACATCCGTTCAGGGCCAATTCATTCGCGGAACAGATACAAAATAAAACAGTCATTTAGACAAATCAACAATTCGATACAGAATACAAACAATAAATATAGCAGATATTTACAAAAAAAAATATCTTCGTTAAAAACCGAACAATTTTCGAAACATAATAAACAAACTTAATATTGTCATAATATCTCTTATCCGTCAACGCTTTATATTATTAAGAAAGAACCTATAAAATTCTCTCTCCAAATGCATCGAAATAAAGGCGAAAGCCTACGGAAGGCGTCGATAGTACATTCGACTTCATGTTAAGCATAAAACTCTGATTATAACGGCAAGAGGAATAAGCGATTTGGCCATATGGCGTAAGGTGAATGTATGACGTCCGTTCTTAAAGCATTTTTAAGCATAAGGGTCTGTCTACTGGCGGCACGGTATTGCATTTTAGGTGATAAATACAAATATGGCATAATAGTATTACAATAAAACTTAAATTTCAATAATCGATCGTAATTCAGCCGATTTCTTTTATTTATTCCTTCATACTTACTTCATACTTCGACTTGCCCAAATGATTTATTTATATCATTTATATATTACACCAATACGAGGTAGATATGACCCTATAAACTGAGGCACTCAAATTAAGGCAAATGTAATTGATTAGTCTGCTATCACATTACGTATCATACGTTCTGTATCATTAGCTGTCACATTCACTTATCCATACTAATATTACAAATGCGAAAGTAACTCTGTCCGTCCGTCTCGAGTTAACGCCGAAACTACTGAACCGATTTAAATGAATTTTGATACACAGAATATAGTCTAGAGCCTGAGAAAGGACATAGGCTATTTTTTATTGGAACAAACTTTAAAATATATGTATATTTAAAATAAAGATATTTATTTAAGGGCTTCAACGCGAGCGAAGCCCCGGGCGTAAAATTAGTATGTTATATAATGTAATGCGGAACAATATCTAAAAATTGTATGGATCAAGCATTATGGAAATGCGTCATGTTCACTACATAATATAAAACAAAGTCGTCCCGCTGTCTGTCTGTCCATATGTACGCTTATCTTTAAAACTACGCAACGGATCTTGATGCGGTTTTTTTTACTAGATAACGATTCAAGAGGAAGGTTTATATGTATAATACATTGCACCCGTGCGAAGCCGGGGCGGTTCGCTAGTTATTGAAAATAAATGCAGTCAATACGCGTTTATATTTGATACCATGCCGTGCCACCAGTGTTCGCGGACCGATAATTTCCACCATCAGAGTGGGTTCTCCGACGGTAGCCGTTACAAAGGTAGGTTACACGTTCAAGATGATAGATCACAGACTTTCATAATGATAACGGTAGAGAATGATAATTAAATATTTTCCAGCATCGTAACGTCTGCATTACAGAACAAGACACTGATTCTTGTTTAAAAAAAAGATATTACGATTGATAGAAAAGCTCTTTAATACAAATTATTGTTAACAGCCACGAATATAGTCATCAAATTCTTGAAGTTTCTATATAAGAGGTGTCAGACAACCCACTCTAACATGGGAAAAGTGTTATATATTCATATATTTCGGATAACAATGGCTTTCCCCGCACCATAAATACATTCGTCAATAAAACAACAGGCGTCCAACGCGGTACAGTCGTGGACAAACATTCTATATTAATAATAATATAAATCTTAAGAAAGTAATAATGTTTAAATATCAATTTTGTGCTAATCAACAGTTCGTAAAAATGGCGTTTAAATAATGTATGTATCGTACGATTCAAGGAGGTCATTTTGTACATTTAATTTTCAAGATTAAAAAATATAAATAACTTGGCTTTACCTAAAAAGGAGATATCTTATAGCGAGGCTCGGACTACCTCTCTACAGGAATTCCGCAAAGACAAAATATCTTTCAATATTTCTCTGATAAATTAAATTTAACGAATGAGTTACGATATAAATGAGAAATGTATAGACGTTGCTTGTTAAACTTAACTCAACTATCGAATTTATTATGAAAAACAAATAAACATAAGTAGAAGCTATTATAAATAACCCCTCCCGCCGGAATACTAAAACAAAATCAATTGTCACCCTAACATTCGTTAAACTGTATTAGTCATCAACGGCGAACTCATCGTATATAACATATTCATATCTATAAAATTTACAGAGCTACGTGTAAAAAAATTGACAATTTATTATTTTGACGACATTTATAAATAAATAAAATTTCTGTCATTTAGCACGCCTATGTTAGTGTGTACGCGACATTACGGAAACCTGCCAACTTTCTACACAGACTATAAACTGTCATCCGTCTACCATAGACAAACTAGAACTGTAAACCATCGCAACGAACAACGGACAATTCAGCGTCGCGAAACGTAACAACCATATTATATAACTATTTTAATACCAAAACAAAAGCTATATCCGTTTCCTGTCAATTATAAAACCTTCGAGACTATTCTGGACGTCAGCTTGACTGTCAGACGAACTATCAATACTGAACGGAAGCGACCTTGATTAATAAGAGTTGAATTTCAAGCTTATAAAGCTGACGGTATTTATACCGCACTGTTATTAACCACTGACCAAAGTTTTGCCTTTGGTCAATGGAAACTTCAACACTGAATCGCTCGCCGATCTAAAATTGTTTGTGGTTTATATTTAATAGTGAATATATATTTATTAGTGAACGAATCTTTGATTATGTTCAACTGTTCCAATGATCCGCGTCTGTAATTTATGACGCAAGAAAACTTAATTGCCGTAACCCGCAAAAAGGTCAATAAACAAATGAAATATTTTTTTTAAATTCATGTCCCTACTTATAGTTTCGAATTTTCACGCGACTTCAAGGAAAGGAGGGAGATTTTTTTTTTGTACTGATATAAAGAATACAACCTGTATTCGTTATTTCAATACAAAAAAAATCTTTTTACATTGGGTTCGGTTTCGCCCCCGTGTGTTCCCCTATATTTTCTCCGGGACTCCGGGGATGCATTGAAATTCGTCAAAATACAACACAAAATGTGTAATAGTAAGCGAGACGAATCAACAAATGTTTTTTGTTACTGACGCATTCGGTCCAGAAAAAGGCACTGACCTGTTTATTACGGGCGAGTTTCCTTGCGTAGAAAAAAAAACAACAGCGATTCTTTATTCAAAAACTTCGAACGCGCCGCCGCGTGAATAAAGCGTCGCGGGCGAGAAGGGCGCAGGCGACGGACAGGCCGCCGCGCGAAACTCGCCCTTGGGGCGACGGCGCGAGGGGCGAAATTCACCTGTCCGCGTGGCCGGCCTCGGCGGCGGCGGCGGCGGGCGAGCTGTGCCGCGACACGTTCTCCCGCCGCCGGCTGCCGTCCAGGTGCAGCAGGCAGCCGACGGCGCCGAAGTACCTGTGACGTCACCCGCTCGATCAAACACACACACACACACAACATATACATGTGTGCGTGACACATGCGCACGCAAAATTTCAAATCGTATCTATAACGAGGCCTGATGGTCTGTTACTGTGCGAGATACGTCTTCTTGCTCTCTCCGCAGCCCGAGCTGCTTTCCGTCTCGCTCTCGACCGAGTCGATGTACAGTATGGGAGCGACTTCGGTTTATATGTATGACGATATATTTTCCATGCATTCGTTTTTCAAGCGATTATGGACGCGACATTTGGTATGTGAGGAAATCCGCATATTTCGTAACAATAATGAAAAAAAAAAATAGCTATATTTATGAATAGCTGAAGTTCCACGCTTTGTGTAATCTCATATTACCAGTGTGTTTTAATATTATTTACTTTTTGAAGTGAAACTTCTTTATGGGGGTTGGAAAAAAAATTAGTGTAACATTTTTCCGTTACGCGCCATCTTTTTTTATCTTAAAATTGATAGAAAACATTAGATGGCATTAGAGGAATCTAACGCCATCTAATGTTGAATAGGGGGTTTTATGTCGTCTTTATTCTTTAGTGGTTTTAATAGTTGACGCTAGATGGCGTTAGTTCCTTTGTGTGTTCATAGCAATATACAGTGATGTGACGAGTTGGATTTTTTTTGACTCGAGTTACTCGAGTTGATTTGGCTACTGGCTCGAATCGCAACTCGAGTTGACTCGCATCGAAATCTCCGGTATGGACAAAGGGGTGAGGTGAGGTGAGGTGAGGTGAGGTGGGGGGGGGGGGACGACGACGACGACTCGGCCATCATTTGTAGATAGAGCAGATCATTTGCAGAGGGAGCTAATTGTATCATTTGTAGTTAACTTTGACAATCAGACGTCTAACACCTCAGTCTGTCCCGTGACCATGAACGCTGTAAAGGGTTCGAAACGTCGGGAACTAAAATTAAAAATAAACGCGATAAATCCGTAAAATTAGTTTCGTTTATAATGTGTAATCGCGTAAATACAAGAAATTATTATTTATTTAACCAATTTCTGTAAAGTTGCATATAGTAAATTATTTTTTGAAAAATAAGAGTAGTTTAGTGAAAAAAAAGTTTCACTTCTTACGAATGTACGCTAGTACACGCACACATTTTTTTTTAAGTTTCACTGTATTAAAAATGTGAGCCGTGATAACTCAGTGTTCGAAGCAAAAAAAAATCAAAGATGCGCGAAGTCCGCCAAACCGCAGTGGGGTCGCGTGGCTGACTATACTCCAATACCCTTTGCACAGAGGCCTATGCCCAGCAGTGGGACATATCAAGGCTCTGTTGCCCACTCCTGGGGGCACCACTCACCCCTCGTGCTCCAAGAAGAGCGCCTTCAGAGCGCCCCTCGACCAGTAGCTCATCGCGTACGACAACAGCTTCATGGAGAGCGGGTTTACCCTCAGGAAGTTGCCGCAGAACACCACCTGGTGGTAATCGATGGTTAGGTGAAATATACAGCGTGTCGTTACGTCGATGGTAACGACACGCTGTATAACAGATAGTACGAGCCGTGATAGGTCAGTGTCCGGGCGCTCGCCTTTAATTCAATATACTCGAGCGACCTGAGTTCGATACCCGGTGGCGGCAACAATGAAGTTTTTAACTTTAATTGCTGACTTATCACGAGCTCCGCGGTGAAGGATAACATCGTGAGGAAACCTGCATATTTTCGAAATAATAACAGAAAAATATATTTTTCGATGATATGTGAAGTCCGCCAATCCGCAGTGGTGCCGCGTGGTGGACTATGCCCTGATGCCCTCTGTATAGAGGAGGCCTTTGCCCAGCAGTGGGACAGGTATAGGCTGTTAGTTTACTTTTACGATGATAAAGTATTATGACGATGATGTAACAGGTAGAGTAAAGGCATCGTAATGGAGATGAGTATATAGCAGATAGAATAAATTATTGTGATAATGATGACTAGGATATAGCAGTAAGTGTAACCGTGAAGTTAGTGAATCACGCGGACCAGTCCCATTAAAACTAAAGTAGCTCACTTTCAGTACGTTGCATTACGTACGGAAAGTGTGTTACTAGTGTCCCTTTAATCTACAAGTCGTTATGAAAATTACGAAGCTATGTAACTAACGGCCGTTTGTTGAATATAGGAACCGGGAATAAGTCGAGGAGATAACCTTGCTGAAATTTTTTTTTGCCCACTGTACTAATGTACTTTACTTCATGATGACGTCACCTGGACGAAACTCGCTTAAGACAATACATTTATTTTACTTTTATACTTACATTTAAAAAAAATCTCCTGAGTGTATATCACATACATAAGTTTCACGTGAACGAACAACCAGATGCGTAACAGCTAGTTGTGGGTCGCACAAACAGTTGTCCCATGTGGGAGTCGAACCCACGACCCTGGGCGCCGAAGGCAATAACTAGTCAACCGCGTCACGGAGTAATCAAAGTTGAGACAGTGAATGAATGAATGAGTGAATGAATGAGTGAATGAATGAGTGAATGAATGAATGAATGAATGAATGAGTGAGTGAATGAATGAATGCACACACTTTAATCACGACAAATGAGAGTGAGAGATAAAAGCGGCAATACAAAGTGAGAAAGTTATTCAAGGGACGTGGGGAGCAATCACCCACCCGCTCGATGCTCTCGTTGACGGCGCAGAGGCGGGCGATGGAGCCGATGTTGTTGGTGATGGTGACGAGCGTCGCCCGGGCCAGGTCCTCGCGGGAGACCTTCGCGCGCCGCTCGGCCGCGCACATCTGCCCGAAGCTGCAACGGAGGCGGGTAGGGGTCATCGCGAGGGGAGGCGCAAGGCGCTCCCACATACCCCCGCTGCCCACAAGGCGGCGGGGGATACGTAAAGGATTTTTCCCGCGCAAAAAAAATGCATCGTGAAGTCAATCAGAGAAGGTGGGTCGACTGATGTTGGGCGACCACGGCAGCCGCCCGTTTGGCATTTGCAACGCCCGCACGGCTGCGGATGCGTTGCAACACTTCTACTTCACGCCGGTGTTTCGTGAGGTCGTGGCACTTCCCCGGACGGACTGCCCGCTCGTGCAACAGCCGAAGACTGCTGCGTGGCGCTACCATAGAAGCAGGACGGTCGGCGTGAAACCCTGGGTTTAGTGTGGGCTAGGTGGTCTCAACTTTTAACTGTCCGTATTGGCTAGTCGTACAAGCGGCTGGGAATGCGGTGAGTTTTAACCCTCGACTTTGACGGGAGATAAGATTAGGGATGCCTTTGTATTTTTTTTTTTTTATTAAGCCTCGGGATTATTTTGCGGCGTACAAGATTAGTGATGTCTTTGTGATGTCTCTAACTTTGATCCTGGATTTTGACAAGATGTAAGGTAGGGCCGTGCATCAGATTCGGCTGTTGCACGAATGGGCAGATCCGTCTGGGTAAGTACCACAACCCCACAGAAGACCGGCATGAAGTGGAAGTGTTATACTTCTGCGTTTCGTCTAGTGAGTGAGGTAGCCGGGACCTACTTTATTAAAGGCGGTAACGCATCTGCAACCCTACGGGTGTTGCAAATGTCAAGGGGCGGCGGTTATCATTTAACATCAGGTGAATCGCCAGCTTGCTTGGCACCTTCTCACATAAAATAAAGGGATGCCATTAATTTAGACCCTGGGTTGTGAAACGATGATGGTTATGAATTGCGTTATGTATGTTCTTTGAATTGAACAAAATATAACATTAATGATGACGGTTAACTTTAATCCCAGGATGTGGAACTTGATGACTTGTGATTGAGGATTACGGTGACAATCAATCCGGACTTAAGATGCAAGACTACGGAAGCCGTTGACATTGAAGAGTTATTTCATGATCTTTGTAACAGGGACGCCGTTAACGCTGAACCCTGATTTGGATAGCACTTCGAGTACAATCACTTGCCCTCAGCCCAATCACTTGATCTACACAGGTCTCAGTTCATTAGAAGCTGGGCTCGATTCCCAGTCGATAGCTATTCACGCTTCAGTTTGCTCAATGAAATTCAACCACCTGGTACTCCGTGTAAACTTAATTTCGTACAATATCCGTGGGTCACGTACTCCCCCCCCCCCCCCCCCACCGCGCCCATCACCGCACTCCACCACCGGCAACCACGATTTGGTTACGCTTCCAGTCTACGGTGGTGGGACAGAACATCCCCCCCAACCCCCACGCCCGTCACCGCGACCCACCACCGGCAACCACATTCCACCACCGGCAACCGCGATTTGGTTACGCTTTTAGTCTACGGTGGTGTGACGCGATATTCACCCCACCCCCTACCAACCCCCCGCGCCCGTCACCGGGTCCCACCACCGGTAACCACGATTCGGTTTCGCTTTCAGACTACGGTGGTGGGACACGATATCCCCCCACCCAATCCCCCAACCCCCCTTCGCCCGTCACCACGTCCCGCCACCGGCGGCCATGTTCCGCCACCGACCACCACGTCCCGCCAAGTTCCGCCACCGGTCGGCGACGCACCGTCCGCACGCAACAAGTGACAACCTGCTCGCGACCAGGTCGCCGGGCAGCCCGAAGCGCGCGTAGTCCCCGCCGTATATGTCGCGCACGAGCTTGTCCACGGTGGTGTTGTCGCCGGAGGCGGCCAGGGCTATCGCCTCCTCGAAGCTGCTGCAGCCGGTGAGGAGGCAGCACAGCCCGAGGAAGGTGCCGCCGCCGAGGCTGGTTGGGATACGGTCGGTTAGAGAGCCACCGGAGAGGCCAGAGAGCTATTGAACTTGTGACGGAGGAACGTCCCTCCACCCAGGCTCGTGGGGGCTAGAAAAACCATTGAAGGTCGGTTACAAAAGCCGAAGGGGCTCACCTTTCAGAAGGTTGTCAACCCATCCCCAACCCATGGGTGTAGTATGCCCATGGGCGGCGTTATTCACTTAACATCAGATGGACAGTCTGCTCGCTTGGCAACTTTTCACATAAAAGAAAAAAAGAGAGGCCAGAAAAGCCCTTGAACTCGTGACGGAGGGAACCTCCGCCCAGGCTGGTGGGGGCGCGTACGAGTAGCGAAGCCGCCGAAGTTGACGGCTTATTTACAGACGGTTTCGATATTCTATCTACAAATACCTGTGGTGGGATCAAGCAACAGTGTTTCACGAATGGGCAGGTCCGCCCGTCTTAGTTCTACTTCTAGTATTACACTTCTGCGTTTCGTTTGGTGAGTGAGGTAGCCGGGGCCCACTCTATTATAAGGTGGCAACGCATCTGCAACGCTACGAGTGGTGCAAATGGCCATGGGCAGCGGTTATCACTTAACATCGGGTGAACCGCCAGGTTGCTTTCTACCTTCTCACAAAAAAAAAAGATATATTTGGTTACTAGCGACAGGAAATTGACATTAGCTCCGTAATACTAACGTCTAAATTCTATCTCCAGTAACTAAATCTATCTGTAGATAGAATATTGAAACCGGCCGTTAATCTGAAAACTTGTCCTTTGCAAAACTTAGTCGAAAAACCCACTAAACTGGTGACGATACAGTCCCTTAGACAGCTTGATTTTGACATGAAATATCTAAGGCGGCGTTTCAGTAATTGAACTGGAATTGAGAGTGAAATTTCTAGGAAGCTTCACTTTTAAGTAAATTTCGTTACACGAGAGAGACGAAAGATGTAACTGATAGAAATATCGTAAACACTACATATTAAATAGCTGAGTTACCACGCGTTGTGGAATTAATATTTACCATTAGGTTTTTTAATTACTTAAATTTTTTAAAGTATCACTCTATCAACTTTACGGTGTCGTACGCGCAACCTTTTTAATGGTAATTCAATTCAATACGTCTATCCATAACACCGTATAATTACAATTTATAATAAGCTGTTCAATTTAGAACGCTATTCCATCATTGGCACGGCCCAAAATCGGCAACCGGCCGACGGATCGCCATTTCGATAGCGACTCTATGCCTCTCTACGCAGGGTCCAAACTCACCTGGTGCCGCTGACCCTGTAATAGTCGCAGGGGCCGTTCACCACCAGCATCGAGACCCCGCTGCCGACGTTCACCAGCAGGAAGGGGTACGGCGAGGAGAAGTCGTAGGGCTTCCGCACGTAGGCGCTAAGCGCCTCGGCGGAGTACGGTGGCTGCAAGGAACAGAATGGCACATCACTCGTCGGCTTAATTAAATGAACGAATGTGAGCTCGAAATGGGGCACGCTTCAAGGCATTATGAGCGTTAATGCCTCCAATCGAGTGGGTTAGTGCTGTCGACTTGAAGCTCTTATTTCTTTCCAAATGATATTGGGCCTTACTTATTTTCTTAGACTTAAAAAAAGAAGTTTTTTCATATTTGTTACCTGAGAACATTTTACAAAACCATTTATGAGACGATTTTAAAAATTACTTTTTTCATTGGGAACGCTTTAGCGCCCACGTGGTCCTTTATTTGCTTCATAGGTTTGACCTTAGACTCCACAGATACACCAGGGAACTGCTGAGTGAGATATTAGAAGTCGGTTTCGTTGATAAAAATGTACTTGTTGCCTAGAGTGAAAGCTTTACGGGTTGTTGGTCAGGCCAAAAGGCAAAAGTGGCTAGTACGTTCACTCACCGTGTCGGTCTGGTGCTGGTGTACCGGCTGCTCGTTTGGCGGCGCCCAGTAGTAGCACTCCTGGGCGTTCATCGAGTCCACGAAAAGCACCCCGGCGATCAGGGCGTCCAGCTCGTCCAGCTTCGAGAGCCTCATGTTTACCTCCTGGACGACGAATACGGAGCAATTTATTTATTTATTTATTTTAAAACTTCATCCACAAAACTCTGTACATAGGCGGACTTAATGCTGACAGTTTCTACCAGTCAATCTTAGGGTGGTACCGAGAAGTTGAGGCACAAACATTTTTAAAAAATATACACAAATTACACAAAAATATGTACAAAATATTATAGTATAATGCAATTTATATGTTTATTTATTCTTTATGCACACAAAATATGTATAAAGACGGACATAGTGCTATCAGCACTATCTGCCAGTCAACCTTTGAGTGGTTCAGAGAATTTTAAAAGGTGCATTGACTATAAAATTATAAAGGGATCATTGAAGAATCAAAGGAATATAATATAAAATACTGTACTAGTAATATTACAATAATAATACGTTGATATATGAATATTTTAAATACACAATACTAACACATATACGTATCTAAATAAATATATTCACATATATGTATATTACGTAAGTATGTACTTACGAGTATATGATTAGCGATCCAGTGATCACTGGATCGCTGTCGACAACTTTTTGAGTAAGTATCTACAAATGAAGCCATGATAGCTCAGTGTCTGAGCGTTCGCCTTTAAATGAAATTACTCGAGGTACCTAACTTAGTGCCCCCGGTGCCGGCACCAATGTAGTTGTCAATTTTAAGTGCTAACTTATCACTTGTTCTGCGGTGAAGGGAAACATCACGGGAAAACCTGCATATTTTAGTTACAAAATCAAAAAAAATATTTCGAAGATACTTGAAGTCCGCCATCGCGTGGGTCATACGAGGAGATTATATCGAATCGAACGATATTCCATTTATGTAATTACTGTTTACAGACGGGATAGTAATAAGATAAAAAAACGAAGGTCGAAAGGTCAAAGCGACATAAAAAGTCGATTTAGTTTATTTCGAAAGACATTCTGTACAAACGAAGCGATTTGTGTTTTAGATTTTTCCTTTTCTTTTACATTAAACGGTGTTTACATACAATCGCCGCCTACGTCAAAAGGAACAGTTAATTACAAGTTAGGTCTTCATAAACAGAAACTAGATCAAGGTCAAAAGGTCGAATGGCGTTAATTAGAATATTGGACGGGCTGATCCAGCAACCGTCCAAACTACGGTGGTAAAAAGATTCTGACGTTAGATATTTTTTATATCGTAAATGTCATAACAGACGGGAGGTCTATATGTGTCTGTAGGTTTACATAACTTTTGTTTCAGATTGTCCTATAGTTGAATAAATTAATAATAGTGAGCATAATAATAACCCGCCAAGTTGGACTCGCGCACGAAGGATTCCGTACCGTTATCTATAAACACGGCAAAAAAAATATGTGTCTGTTGTATGGGAGCCCACCTTAATATTTTCTATTTTATTCTGTTTTTTAATATTTGTTGTTATGGCGGCAACCAGAATACGTCATCTGTGATTTCAAACGATTAACTATCACGGTTCATGAGATACATTGACAGACGGACCCTTTCGCTTCGGAATCTAAAAAACGTTACAGATCTAAAATTAAAGTTCATATTGAAATCTAAATTGGCAAAACAAGGGTAGTCTTACTGTGCTGATTAGTTTTTGGTGTTATTTTGGCTTATTAAAGTTTATATTTTTTTTATTTAGGCTGCGGTCACATCCGGTGAGTGAGGTAACCGGAGTCCACAGTTCAAAGATTTGTAACGCATCTACAAGCTTTTCAGTGATATAGATGTCCAATGGCGGCCTGTCACTCTAAATGACTTAACATCAGGCGAAGCACCCGCTCGCTTGGTAATATTTCACACTAGCGACCCGCCCCGGCTTCCCACGGGTGCAATGAAGTAAAAAGAAAACCGCATCAAAATCCGTTGCGCAGTTTTAAAGATCTAAGCGTACGTAGGAACAGACAGACAGAGGGACGACTTTGCTTTATACTATGTAGTGATAAGAAACATGTGACTGTGGTAGGGCCACGCAACAGCTTCGGCTGTTGCACGAATGAGCAGGTCCGTCCGGGTAAGTACCAGGACTTCATAGAAGAGGGGCGTTAAATTGATGTCATACTTCTGCGTTTCGTCTGGTGAGTACGTAGCTCCACTTAGGTAGCTCCGTAGGTCCACTTTATCATAAGGCGGCAACTCATCTGCAACCATACGCCAAACGGGTGTTGCAATTGTCCGTGGGAGGCGGCTATCACCTAACATCAGGTGAACCACCCGCCACCTATCCACACAAAAAATAAAATTCCGTTACGACTTCACCATCGTCACCTAAAGGATTTGAAAATGGGACTCGCCTTCTTGAAGTCCTCCTCGAACTTGTAGGCACCGCCGCCGGTGGCGTATATGGTGTTCACCAGGTCGGCCATGCCTTTCGAGCGCGCCAGCTGCAGGAAGGCGCCAACCTCGCTGGTGGGGAACCTGATGAAGTGCAGCGAGCCGCGCCTGCCGCGTATCGTCACGTTCTCCATCTGGTGGGCGCGGGGGGTTTCGAGCGCGCTGTACAGCCATTTTTAAAAAAAAAAACCTTGGCCAGCTGCAGGAAGGCGCCAACCTCACTGGTGGGGAACCTGATGAAGTGCAGCGAGCCGCGCCTGCCGCGTATCGTCACGTTCTCCATCTGGTGGGCGCGGGGGGTCAATGGTCAGACCGGAGGACCGGGTAGACCTTCGCGGTCTGAGTCTGTACAGCGGCTTGGCTCTAGCTGAATGCTCACCATATAAGGTCGCTGTGTACTAGGACCCCATTAAGCTTGAAATTGAAGGATGAGGACTTAAAGTGCTTATACCACATACGATTTAAAATTTACGGTGATACTTTGATCACATTCGCTCAACGAACTTATTTCGAGTTTATAGCGGCTTGGCTCTAGCCGAACGCTCACTATATAAGATCGCTGTGTACTACGACCACATTCAGCTGGAGAGATGAGGACCTGAAGTGCTAATTCCGTACATGATCCAACATTTATGGTGGTACTTTGATCACATTCGCTCAACGCAGACTTCTTTCGAGCTCCATAGCGACTTCTTTCGAGCTCCATAGCGACTTGGTTCTAGCTGAACGGTCACTATATAAGTGGCAGAATGCATAATACTAGGACCCCATTCAGCATGTAATTGTACGATGTGGAAGAGGATATGAAATTGCACTTCCACACGTGACCGAAAATCTATGGCGCCACTTCGATCACAATTGCTCAACGCAGACTTGTTTCTAGCTCTTAAGTGACTTAGTTCTAGCTGAAAGATGACCATATAAGACCACAATGCGGGATACTAGGAGTCTATGCAGTGTTTAATTGTAGGACAAGAGCTACTACCGCACATGATCCAAAGTCTGTGGTGTTTAAAGTGCTGATTCACCAGCAGTGGCGGATTTGCCCTAAGGCCCAAAAGGCGCGGGACTAGGGTGGCCACACATTAGGGACGGCTAATCGTGGCAAAAAATTGACTGATCATAACAAGATATATAATGGGCGCAGAGAAAAGGGCGGCTAGATCTTACTACATGGGCTGGGACCTAGGGCGGACAGGACTACAAATCCGCCACTGTTCACCAGGTGAACAGGACGGTCGTGGACCAGAGCTTTGATAAATGAAGAAAACATCAATAGTTTATAGTCAGTCAATTAGCTATGGAGTCTTTACCTAACCATGATCTAATACCCTCAGTTTGATAAAAGCCTCTGTAGTTTTTTTTTCTCGGTGACATCACTAGCTCACCTGTAGATGGACATCCCTCCTGCCTGTCTTCCCATAGGCCGAGTTCCTGGTGAGGTAGCGCCTGATGTTCTTCAGCACCTCCGTCTCCTTGTCCAACTCCCGTCGGTTGGTCTCCCTAGGCTCGAAGTAGACCAGCTTAGTGAGGGTGCCCCCAATGTCCATGCCGAACCACGGCATCGCTGCTGATTCGGAGGGGAATGCGTTTCAGTTCAGAGAAGAAGACAGAGGAAATTTCCTTAACCACTGGTTCGTTAAATGAAACTATTTCGCGGATTTCGTCGATGTCAATTCATTAACCTTAGTATATATAGTTTTGGTATTTTTTATACAGGAATTTTGCTCCGTTATGTTCTCCTGGTACATAACCAAGGTAAAAAGAAAAAAGTGACGGATACAGTAAAGTAACCTTTACATTGGCTGGTGTGCTTATCAGGAGCATAAAGCATTTTATGAGGCTTGTTATCTAAATTATTTATGTCGAGGTAGAGTTTTTCCCTTGTACTTGTACATAAGTACAATAAAAAACCCTGTCAAGTTTTGGACTTGCTCACAAGCGAAATTCAAATGAACCCTGGACTATTAGTCAGAGATTAGCTTCAGCTTTCATAACAGGAGGGAATATTTTTGTTCATAAAAGAATATTGGTGTCATCGAGACCAGGATAATTAAGTTTCACATGATGCTAGTCGATGGAGAGTTAAGATTGTTTCGCCTCTCCATTCTCCTGTAGCCCTAGTAATTGTTAAAAGCCAGCCCATTAATTCTGCAGCATCTCGTCTAAGATGAAATCGTACTGGCTACTCTGCTCGACTGTCAACAGGAGAGCTAAAAACAATAAAACACTCTCGATATAATTTTGATTTGCCTCTCGGTTCTTCTGCGAACCTGGTACTCATTTGGAGTCTGCTCATTAATGCTGCAGCATTTCGTCTACTAAGATGAAATCACACTGGTTACTTCTTAGTAGACTGTCTTCTTCTGCTCGTCTGGTATACTAATACTTACGTGGCGCATTGTTATCGGGCGGTGTGGGGGGCGAGGGTTCAGCCATGACTGGTCGGACGGCCTTCGACGCCTGCACTTTGTAAGGCGAGCGGCGGGCACGTCTCAGTTGGCTGGACCTGTGGCGAGGGCATATTTAGGTTTGAATGCAGTGATCAGGGTAAATTTCTATGGGCAGATACGGAAGATCTAAAATCATCAAGTTATTTATATAGATGACCTATACAGGTATGTCTGAAAATATAAATCTCTGTATATGATATGCTAAAAATCAGCAAATCGGGGTTTAACTCTTGCTTTTCAAGTTTTGCCTCTTTTATGAAAAAGTTTTAAACCAAGGAAAACTATTTTTCATTACAAATGAATACTGTAAATTTTTGAGGTACCTGAAAACTTAATTTGTAATATGACGTTATATGATATTTTCACAAACAAAGAATTATCTAAAACGCGATTTTACAGAAAAAAAAAACAGGTAGTTATTTTCTTTTATGTGGTTCTGTTTTGAACTTTAAGAATTATATGTTAGGAATTAGGAAATGAAATAATTTATACAAATCAATAAAATTGAAATAACTGACTTACTAACTGACTGTGAATATTGAAATATCCGCTTTTTGTTAAATGCATATGGATATATTTACGGTACATACGAGTATACAAAAATAACATTTTTTACAATTGTTGTCCGTCTGTCTGTTTGTTCCGGCTAATCTCTGAAACGCTAAAACCGATTTTGACGGACTTTCACTGGCAGATAGACGATGTAATAAAGAGTAACTTAGGCTACTTTCATTTTAGAAATTTTATTTATTTTACATTCCACACGGACCGGACGACGTCGCGGGCACAGCTAGTTTGGAATATATTACCACAACTTTACAGTATGTACCGACTGTACGTATGATTTGCGTGGCCCTTCCACCGTTGAGTAGTAAAAAAAGTAAAGTAACAACCTATACATGTCCCACTGCTGGGCAAAGGCCTCCTCTATACAGAGGGTAACAGCGCATAGTCTTCATCATCATTTCAGCCTGTTGGAGTCTACTGCTGAACATAGCCCCCCCCCCCCCCCCATAGACTGCCACGAAGTACGATCCTGAGCCCCCTATATCCATCGACTTCCCGCACATTTGCACAGGTCGTCACTCCATCTAGTGGGGGGTCGTCCTACACTGCGATGTCCAGTACGAGGCTGCCACTCGAGAACCTTTCTTCCCCAACGGTTATCGGTCATAGTCTTAGACTTGAGTATAAAGTCCCAACTATAATTTAGTCGGATAGCGAGTGCTACTATGATAGGGCAACGCGCCACAATAGGTTGTTGCTTGAATGGGCAGGTCTGTCCTGGTAACCACGGCCTCACAGAAGACAGGCGTGAAGTGAAACTATTGCACTTTCGCGTTGCGTCTGGTCAATGAGATAACCCTTTTTTGAAAGTTAACGACGCGTCTGCAAAGCCTCAGGTGTGAATGTCCATGAGCGGGCTATATTGCCTGATGAGGTAGCAACGAAGGCAGTTTTTAAGGTTCCGTACCAAAAGGGTGAAACGGGACCCTATTGCTAAGACTCCGCTGTCTGTCCGTACGTCTGTCACCAACCTGTATGTCATGAACCGTGATAGTTAGACAGTTGAAATTTTCGCAGATGATGGTATTTCTGTTGCCGCTATAACAAAAAACACTAAGAAACAATCAAATAATATTTAAGTGGGGCTCCCATACAACAGACATGATTTTTTGAGGTTTTTATAGAAAATGGTACGGAACGTTATCATGTACCAGGCGAGCATGAAGCCGTTAGAAATTCCTAGGATAGTAGCAACGTACATCGTATGTAACACGGCGTGAAGCTCGTTCGAGTCCTAGAGCAGCAAAGAGTACTCAAGCCCACAGGAAGGTGGGTATAGCCCTCTCGCTCGCACCGCAGTCGCATTCGCTTTCTATCTCGCTCCCACGCACATCAGTGTACGGTTGTTGCAAGCTCTGCTCGAGGAGTACCAGGGGCACATAAAGCTGGGATAACTCACTTGGAAAGTGTGAGCGGGAGGTCGTAATGCGGCGTCGCGCGCCGCTCCGGCCCGCAGGCCGCGAGGCAGCCCTCACAGCGGTGCAGGCGCATCTAGAAAAAAAAAAAAAATAAACTCAAATACTAAAAAACAATGTAGACAAAAGACTTTCGTCGGTGTGGCAATCAGCCGTTTAGCTTAGTTGCTAAAGCGTCAGGCCGCGAATACCGAAGACGTTTGTTCGATTCCCACAGCGGCGACAATCTTTTCGTACTTTTGCTACAAATTTTAATGTTTAATCTAAGTGCAGAGATTAGCACTATAAAATAACAAAAAAAACTAAACCCAACTTGAAACATTAAATTTAATACATTTATAGGTACGAATATTTAAGAAAAACGTATGTGTTTTGCTTATGTACTAACGTAAGAAGACAACTAATAATTTTATCTCGAGTGCAAGTACTCTTTGTTTGTGAAAGAAATGCATTAATTGCAAATTGATAACGGTTTAATTAAATAAAATAGAACTGTGAATATCAAAGTTTAATTTGGTTGCCATGGTAACGCCGTGATGTTAGTGTTGCTAAAAGGCGCATCGTTAAAAAAGTATGACTTAAAAAATCGCTTTAGCGGCTAGGTGGAACATATGTATAATATGTGATGTTTTGCTTACGACGGATTTCTATATGGCTTACTCAGGCGCGCCTAGTCAACAGCAGAGGCTACTGTTTGGTACCACCACGGTAAATAACCACGGCTAACGAAGGAATCTAATGGTAGTTAATCGCTAATTGACTTCTCTGAGACCACGGTAAAGAACTACAGCTACAGAAGGAATATACAGTTAATTGCTAATTAGATTGTCTGAGTTCAACCGTTACATGATTTTGCTGTGCGTTTGTTGTAACAAAGCCATATGCTCGATGGGCTTGCATTAAATATGGCCCACTGTATTTACATTTCTTCAAAATACATTTTTTACGTGAGAACGTGTTCGGTTCACCTGATGTTAACTGATACCCGCCGCCTATGGACATGTGCAACACCCGTAGGGTTGCATATGCTTTGTCACCTTCTAATGAAGTGAGCCCCGGCTACCTCACTCACCTTACGAAACGCATTACACTTAAATTCACGTCGGACCTTCAGATCCGTGGTACTCACCAGGATGGACCTGCCCATTCGTGCAACAGCCAATACTGTCGCATGGTCCAACCACATTACGTTTATTGTATCAAAGCCATATTATGTGGAATCGGTTTGCATAAAACTAACTTATCTTTCGATATAGTGCTAACGGTCTGTATATGGGCCACTGAATTGACATTTCTTAGGAATACTTTTGGAGGGAAATCTTCTATAGGCACGTTGGGAAATTTTTGATGGAAAATCCAGGTTCGTTTCACTGACATTTTGATGTCACGTGTTTTATCACATTTTGGCCATGCTAAATTTTGATGTCATTTGCTTTTCTAATATTTGATCTCTGTATGACAATTTTTTTAGGTTGTTGTAATAAAATGTTATAAACAAAACCTGTTCACACAAAATTATTGTTTATTGTCAGAAATAAAATAGGTCTTTTGCTATACAAATAATTTAGCGTTTTGTGATTTTAATTATTCGTACTATAATCCATTTAGAAATTAAAAAAAAAACACTATTATTACCATTTTAAGTTTTCATTTCTATCAGAAGAACTCATGACAATTTTTTTTTTTAAATTTATTCTTACAAACATTTCTCGTTTCTTAATGGTAGTTAATGTAATAACCAGTTAAACTATCAGTGATCATAAATTATAATTTCCCTATCAATTTCTTCTTCAATTACCAATCTCTAATTACTTGTAGCGGTCAAAGCATGTTCAATACTCCGTCAAAATATGTTTAGTTTCGAGATCGAGCGGAACTTTTTTTAACAATATACATACTGCGTAGCGTTTAAAGTGTTCCGCTGTATGTCATATGACGTAAATAAGTGAACGTGACAGATGATATAGAACGTATGATAGGGAAAGAGATAGCAACCTATCGAATTACACCAACTGGTGTGATTTGTGTGGCTCAGTTTTGGTGCGCTAGTGTCATATCTTTTGTATGTAAAGTAGTAAACAGTAAAGTAATACGACGCGACGGCCGCTCTTTGTGTTGTAAAACTCAAAAGCAGCGCCTTAGGTTGCTACTTGAGCGAATAAATTTGCGTAGATTAAAAATGTCTCAAATGTCAAACGCAAACGATGAACTTCGCGCGCGCGTCACTGTAGCCAGATACGATCGGTGTATTCTGAAGCTAATACAAAAAGCGAATAGGTCGATTTTAAACTGACAGCTAATAATTCAGCGACGCACAAAATGACCATAATTTACGTAATACCAACGAATAGGATCGCCTGCATCTGGAATGCGAACAATATCGATTTTTATTGACTAAACAAAAACATACATAGATGCTAGATAACTTTTTTTGTTTATGGGAAAGAGCAGCAAACGAGCAGGAGGCTACCTGATGGTAAGTGATCACCGTCGCCCATGAGCTCATGCAACACCCGAGGGCTTACAAACTTATACATACATAGATTAAACTACATATTAAACTATGCTTATTTTGACATATTGTTTTAATTCATTCGAATGGTTTACGCACGGTTTTTGAAACACTGATCATTGTAGATGTTAACCAATCAGCTGTCAAAAAATTGAAAATATATTTATAATCTATATATTTAATATATTTATAAATATAATCACATGGAAGCTTGCGCGTTCTTATGAAACGTTAACATTTATACGTTCGTAATTTATACGTTCGTAAGTTACCACCGGTTCGGAAAACAATTTCTATGGAGAATAAACCGGCAAGAAACTCAACAGTTGCTCTTTTTTTTAAAACGATTAGTATACAATATAATAGGATAGGTACAACCCCACACATTGGCGTCGTCAAGATATTCCGCAATGGTATAATATGCCTTAGCCATTAGTTCACTTTTAATTGATATAGTGGCAGATTTAAAAATAGCAATTGTCAAATAGCTTTTCAAATGTTATTTGAGTTTTCAAAAGTACTGATAACTCTCCGAAATGACCAGAATGACCTTCTTAAAGGCCCATTTACACGATGCCATTTTCTTGTACATACAAGAGCAATAATTGAATGCAATAAATTGCGCGCAATAATTGTTTAGACCATGCAACTCATTTATTGCTTCAATTTAATTGTATACAACAGGCAAGAAACTGGCACCATGTAAATGGGCCTTAATGATCAGAATGATCAATTCAAAGAATGTAAAAAAAATCCTTTTGGCAATGTTTTTTTGTTATTATTTCGATAACATGAAGGTCTCCTCACGAAGTTCTCCTTCACCGCTGAGCACGTAGTAGGCGAATCTCGTGAAGAGAACTGAAGACAGTTCGATCCCATTCACCACTCGTGCTACCAGGAGAGCATAGTGACGACGAAGTATTAGCATTGTTACGTAGCCGCAACGTTCGACGTTACAAAATCGAAAATTTCACCGGGCGCGACGCACGGCGAATGTTAACAAGGAGCCGGGGCTTTCGTTACGTCGAACACCGAACGTATAATCGCTCGAAGTCACATCGAGAACGAACATTTTACTGAATGAAAATTACAATGCGCTAAAGGACACTGAAGTTAGCAGCGAGGCGTATTTATCGTAACAGGTAATAAATGGTATCTTCAGATAACAGACTGTACCTGTTACGAACAAACTTAAATAACAGATCCTGTTCCACGCAAATTGTTCCTTAACGCGGTGTCACAAGCATTTCTGTACTCATGGATAGAACTGTTACGTTAGTAAGAAAAAGATAAAAATTTTTACATCCTGTCTCTACGGTAACAGTGACACAAATTGTCACAACCTAGTTAGTACATTATGAAATAACAGGGTGTTATTTTGTAACAGGTATTTGTTACTGTTACTATTAAGTCACATTCCTATCTGAAGTTAGTCAGAATCATGCTCGGTGCATGGTTTATAGATATCGAGGAGACCTGAGACGTGCGGGGAGGATTATTGCCATCCCGTTCGTGCAGCTGTCTCACATGTTTTCGGTCTCCCTCTTTATTCAAGTTGGTTATATTACCAAACATTAGCTCTGCCAACTTCATGCACTCCTGGTAGTGATCGATTTGTGAATCAAAATTTTATATAATTACAAATTATATACATACTTTTTATTTTAAGTGCTTAACTTAATTGCACGTCTTAAGATGAAATAAAAAACGAGTTTAATAGGTGAATTGTCAAAAAATTCTTAAGCTTTGAATTATAATTTGTTAAATTTATCTATTTATTTCTTAATGAAAAAGTGTTCTTGCTTCCAACGAAGTGAAAACAAATGGTCTATTTAATTCAAATAAGTTACTAGTTTCCAGTTAAACCTAGATGTGGTAAAAACTAATGCAAAACAAAAAATACATATTCATATCATACGATACATAAACATACTTATTATATTGGAGAAGTATGTTTACATATGGTATGTTATACATAAACAAAGATAAATTGGAAAACAGAATCATGTTGGAATAAAATATTATATGCGTTTCGTACGGCGAGTGAGCTAGCCGGGGCCCAATTCATTAAAATCCCAACCGAACCTCATCACTACGGATGTTGCATCCATGGTGGGCGGTTAGGTTATAAGTTAACGTCAGGTGAACCGTCAGCACGCTCACCAACTCACATAAAAGCGTAACATGGTTCATATGTGTGTTTTCGTGCCGTTGAGAAACGGGGCTAGTGTTGACAATGTAATAAACAACGCAGACGAATTCGCGGACATCTGCTAGTCACTTCATAGTATAAAACAAAGTTGTCCCGCTGTTTGTCTGTTACTATGTATGCATATATCTTTAAAACTACGCAAAGGATCTTGATGCGGTTTTTATTAGATAGAGTGATTCAAGAGGAAGGTTTATATGCACCATCGTCGCTAGTTAATAATAATTTAGGTGCGCGCGCAGTCGAAGCGAGGCTTAAACTAGTGCATAGCTGCAGATCGCATCGTCTATCGTATTCAAAGCAGACCCGTTCCGGACTAATGGCCTACTGACCCCGCCTCGATACAGTCCACAGA